GAGGCCCGCGTACTGCAAAAAAAAAAAAAAAAAAAGCCCACAGATTTGTCAGGGAACTGGCCACTCTTGTGCACGGAAAACCAGGAGAATTGTGCCAGGTGGTGGTAGCAAAGGCCGGCTGTGAAAAGAGGGTGGGGACAAGGTACAGACCGGGCTGCTCACTGGAGGAAGGCTTTGAGCTGGACCCAGATCCAGGGGCTGTAAGGCTGCTGAGACCAAGACTCCAGCCAAGGCCAGGAAGAAGTGGCTCAAGCTCAGTCAGGGCAGGAAGAGCAGCCCTGATAGATATGGGGACAGGACAGACGGCAGGCATGGTGCGCCGTGAAGAAGTGGCCAGGCCATTGATCTCTGACATAGGGAGAAATGCAAGAGTTTGGGGATTCAAGTGAAGAGGTGGTGTGGGCCTCTAGATTTCCAGCCAACTTTCCGCAGACTCAAAATGAGCTGGGAAGGGGAGGGGAGCTCTCCGGAGAGAGGAATATAAGGACCCGTCTCATGAGCTGCCCCACGGTGGCACGATTTAAGGGGCACTGAGCTTCCATCCTTTATCCCCAAATCTCCTCATCCTCCCTGCTTATTTAGGGGGTGTCAGAAAACCTTTGGGATCTTCAAGAACTCCTTATCTAGATGCAAATAACCCTAGAAATCTTAAGCTGGTGTTTCTCTTTCCTGGCTGTATATAAGAATTGACTGGAGATTCTCATTTCTAAAGTCTGGAGTGGGGTGTGAGTATCTGGATCTACTAAACACCTTCCAGGTAATTCCAGTGTCCCCCACCCCAGGCTGAGGATCACTGGTCCAAGCCCAAGAGTGCTGAATGGGGAACCAGAAAACCCAAGTTCTGATCCCAAATCTACCACTTTTCCCAGCCTTAGGTAGATGTCTTCGCCTGCTGGTGACCCAGTTTCTTCATGTGTAAAGTTGGACAAACCATCCTGTGAAGATATGAGGAGACCCAAGAGCAGTTTAGAGCAAGGAAGGGCTTACTGACACTTGGGGAAGAGTCATGGCCAGCTTGCGTGGCGGGTGGGGAAAGACATTAACCAGAACCTCAAGGCGGTTACACCCGCTTCCCCTCCTCCCTGTGCTCAAAGCCACTGCCCCCTAGTGGTAAGAGTGAACCTGAGCCCCTGAGCTTTTGTCCTGGAAAGCTTGGGGGTGGGAGCAGATCTGAGAGCAGAGGGCATGCAAAGGGGATTTAAGGAAAGACCCAGAGAGGAAAGGGAGATGGGAGGGGTGCCCATGGCCAGGAACGCTATTTTTTTAAGGTCCAGAACCATGGGGAATAATCTTTCTTGTTGTTAACAAGAGGTGATGAATTATTGAAGAGACTGAGAAGGCCAGATGGCAGGGGGTGCAGGGCAGGTGCTATAGCTTTGTGTACTCTGTGGGGGGGGAGACCTGGGGGGGGATCGGGGTGACTTCCTGCCCACAGCTTCTCCTAGGACGTGGCTTGTGACTACAGTGATTTGCTTCTCCAAATCAAAATGCGGGCCCTATGGACCAGTTCCTGAGAGCTCATGGGGATGGTGGAGCAGAGTCAGCTCTGGCCAGTGCCGGGAATGCAGGCCGTGTGGCTGTAGGCTGTCTCTGGGACACCTGGAATCCTGGCTCCAGCCTGGACCTCGGAAGCCTCCTACGAAAACCCCAGCCCAGAGAAGGGAAGGCAGCTGCCCAAGGTCACACAGTTGGCCTAGAGCCCAGCTCTCCTGGGATCCCTCAGTCCACAGTACCTTCCACTGCACCACCCTGAGAGGCTGGGAAAGGTTCTATCCCTGGACTAGGGCTTGAGCGAGGTCATCCCCTCCCTCTGACTCCTGCCCAGCACTGCCAGCCCAGCAGAGGCCCAGAGGGTCTAGGAGGTGTCAGAGCAGAGGGTTATGAACTGCCCAGTTCAAGGCCCAGCTCTGCCACTTACCAGCACTGTGACTTTGGGCAAGTTATTTAACCTCTGTGAGCCTTAATTTTCTTTTTCATCTAGGGGAGATTCTCGTACCCTAGGGTACTTCTGAGGATTAAATGAGCTAGTACTTCAATAGGAAATATTTTCCTATAATAAATGCTCAATAAAGCGTTAGGGGTTAATAAGATTGGCCGCTTCTAGGGCTTCCTGGACCACCTAAACTCTGGGATTTGGACTTGGCCTTGAGATGGCCAAGTGGGGAGGAGAAGTGGGGAGCAAAGTGCTGGCCTGTCTAGTTAGGACGGCAGTAGCTGAAACCAGGCCAGGTCTGGAAGCCTGGAAGTGAACGATGGACCAGAGGAGTAATAAGGGCAAAGCCAGTTCTTTCTGAAGCCTTTGCCCAGTTTCTGAGGAAGACTTTGGCCAGGCCTGGGACTGCTGAGCCTCCAGCTTGTGCTGCAGGAGACGGATGGGGCAGAAACGGGAGGGGAGGAAGGCCTCGCACTTCCTTATCAGGTAAGATGTGCAACTGAAGGGACCTGAGAATCCTGACTCACCAATCACTCTTAACACCATCCCCCCTCCTTGGCCCAAAAAGCAAGGCTGACATTTGCTTTCCATGTACAGGAAGAGCAGAAGCAGCACCAGCCCCAGGCTGCAGTTGGAGGATATTGTAAGGTCCTTCCCATGCTTTTGCCTGTTCCAGAGCAGAGTAGGGGGAAGGATGCTAGGAATGGTCCCGTCTGGGCCCCTTACTACCATCTCACAAAGAAGCTAATGACAAGGATGACAGTGCTGGCTAATTTTGAACACATGTATTTCCAAGCACCATGTAAAGGGCTTTATGTGAATTATCTTACTTCATCTTCACAATAACCCTGAGAGGCAGTACTGTTGTTATCCCCACTTTCCAGATTTGGAAACTGAGGCTCAGAGAGGTGAAGTCACTGTCCATGCTCACACAGCTAGCAAGGGTAGATCTGGGACTTAAGCTCAGACACTCTGGGTCCAGAGAGCCTACTTTTCCCTGATGCTCTGAACAGCCTCCCTGTGCTCTGCTGTGAAATTCATGCCCAAAGAGAGGAGTTCCTTTATGCCCCCTGCACCAGGCAGGTTGGTGTCCCTGCTCTGTGTTCCTTTAGTACCCTCCAAATTTCAAGTTTTATCATTTCCAGGGCCGATACTCTGGTCTCCAGAAAGCTTTCTGTCATCTTCTTCACACACAAGAGCTAGTTCCACCTCCAGAAAGCTCTCCTTCCGGAAAGAAGAGAGAAGGAAGGTCCAGGCATGGTTTAGGGGTGAGGAGAAAAGGCTGGGTGCTGCTCTGTGTTTCCATGGCAATGCAGCAGCCTTCCTCATTACTGCTTTGTTTGCTGCTGAGAAACCTGAGGAGGGTGGTGAGGTGGGGGTGAGGCTCTCTTCTCTCCTTTCCTTCCTCACCATCCCTTCAGGCTGGGCAGCCAGGTGAGCTGAAAGCCTGCACCTGACACAACCTTGCTGGCTGGATTCCACCCGACTCCAAGCTTAGAGGCTGGGACCTTGTAGCTGGAGTCCTCCTGGGCAGACTGGCAGCCTGGGCCAGGCCTCTCAACAGCATTCCCCTCCCCAGATCCCAAAGGCTGTGAACTCCCTAAAGAGGACAGCATGTTTGTACCTCCAGGGTCTCCACAGGGCCTGGCAAGAGTAGACACTCAATGGATTCTTATTGAATGAATGAATGAACAAATGAAAGAACAGACCAGCAATCCATCCTATACTAGAGCTACGAGTATTCATTTTCACGTTCCCAAACCTCCATGCTCTGTCTCCCTTCTGGGTCTTTGCCAATACGGTTCCCTCTGCCCATGCTTCCCCACTGCACTGTGCTGATTCTGACACCTCACGTCTCAGCTTGGAGGTTACATGCCCACAGAGGGTTTCTGTGACTGCTTGAGGGTGGGCCCTCCCCATGGCCCCTGGGCTATGGGCGTGTGCTGGAGTGCAGAGGCATGTGCCTTGTGTGCTTGTGTGTCTCCCCAGTGAGTCTGGGAGCCTCGTGCAGGTGGGAACCATGTCTGCCAGGCCCCTAGATCCTGACATGAGGCCTGGCCCATAGTAAGTGTGCAGCTCTTCTTTGTGAAAGGTCAGGAAGGACGGGGTGGTTCTTTTGGAATAAGAGAGAATGAGGGAGTGGGAGTTGATGAGTGAAAAGAACAGCATACAGAACTCAAACCTCCTTAGAGTCGGATGGAAGCCAGAGCTCTTCACAGCCCAGGACCCCTCCCCTGCCCTCATCATGCATAGTGTTAACCAAATAATAGCAACAGTCCCAAGTCCTTGTGGCTGTGCAGCAGCTCACCAAAGCTCTTTCACATCCTTGGTTCCAGTCCCCAGACAGCCTTGAAGAGAGGGCCTTATGAATTGTTCCTCTCATTTTTTTTTTTTTTTTGCGGTACGCGGGTCTCTCACTGTTGTGGCCTCTCCTGTCGCGGAGCACAGTCTCCGGACGCGCAGGCTCAGCGGCCATGGCTCACGGGCCCAGCCGCTCCGCGGCATGTGGGATCTTCCCGGACCGGGGCATGAACCCGTATCCCCTGCATCGGCAGGCGGACTCCCAACCACTGCGCCACCAGGGAAGCCCCTGTTCCCCTCATTTTAAGGTGCTGGGCAACTGGATAGCCACATGCCCAAAGATGAACTTAGACCCTTACCTCACACCATATGCAAAAATTAACTCAAAATGGATCATCAACGTTACTGTAAGAGCTAAAACTATAAGGTTTTTAGAAACATTGAAGAAAATCTTTAAGACTTTGGGTTAGGCAGAGACTTCTTAGATACAATACCAAAAACATGGTCCATAAAAGAAAATTTGATAAATTGGACTTTGTCAAAATTTATAACTTCGGTTGTAAGTTTGGCTTCAAAAGACACCACGAAGAAAATGAAAAGATAAGCAAAAGACTGCAAAAACCTATTGGCAAAACACACACATGATCAAGGAAGAGCATTCCAAGCTCAAAGATGACGGAAGGGGCCCTGAGGGATGATGCCTCCAGCAGAGACAGTGTGGGTTCCTAAGTCTCGTGGACTCTCCACTGCATGTGTTCTTTTCCAGCAGCCCCGTAGCTGAGTGGGGCCTCCAGGCCTGACTGGGACTCTCGCCGGAGAACTGACTCAGGTAGGAAAAGTCTCTCCCAAGGCCTGCAGACTTAACCAGCTGCACCTTCCTCCTTTTTCCACCTGCTTCCTCAACAAGGGCTCCCCTGAGTGGCCACCGGCAGAACTGTAGCTTCCCGCCACAGCTGACCCAGAGCCTGGGATGGCTGAGATGCCTGTTCCGTCTGCCAGGAGACCCCAGGAATGCCATCGCTGCTACTCTGACTCTCGGGCAGATGGCTTACTGTTAAAATGTACTGTGTTCGGGCTTCCCTGGTGGTGCAGTGGTTGAGAATCCGCCTGCCGATGCAGGGGACAAGGGTTCGTGCCCCGGTCCGGGAGGATCCCACATGCCGTGGAGCGGATGTGCCCGTGAGCCGTGGCCGCTGAGCCTGCGCGTCCGGAGCCTGTGCTCCGCAACGGGAGAGACCACAACAGTGAGAGGCCCGCGTACCGCAAAAAAAAAAAAAAAAAAAAAATGTACTGTGTTCAACGTAAACTATTACACTTTTACATTTGGCTAAACATGTCGTGTAAATGCGTGGAAACCAGCGACCTGGGATAATTAAACTGTGGGCAACCTAGGCAGAAAGAGAGGGGAGCAGAAAGTAGGGAAACTTAAGGAGATAGGCAAGAGGCTCCCTGCTCCCGTCAGATGCTGATCCGGAGGCGGGTGTTGTCCTCCTTCCTTTTTCCAGGACTAATCTCATTACGCCCTTTTCCCCTATTTTTGTGAGTTAGCACAGGGAATCCAGACTCCCGGGCCACCTCTTGTCTCCTGTACTCCAGTCCCTTTACCTTTATTCCCTTCTCCATCCCCAGCACCCAACCATCCCTAGTACCTAGAACCATTCCAATGTGTCCCCTGGAACTCTGTGTCCACTTTTCATTTTACAGATATCTATGGGATACTGCCTGTGTTCCAGGCATTTTTCTCCATGACTGATAAACCTTAATCCACATGTCCCTCTTAACAGCACTGTGAAGTGGGTACTAACTGATAGCACCATCCCCATTTTACAGATGAGTAAATGAGGCATGGATAAAGAGCTTGCTCCAGGTCGCTTGGCAAGTAGGAGTTGGAACTGGGATTCAGTGGCAGAGCTCACGGTGCCCAGAAACACCCCCCAGATCCTCAGAGCATCACCTTTTCACTGGGAACTGAAACCCAAGACTCCCGAGGAGCCTTACCACCCTCTCCGCAAGTGGTTTCTGTTTCTCTCCCAATACCATGGACCTGGGGATGGGAGAGATGCCTTTCTTGCTCTTCTTTTTAACTTTCAGACTATTCTTCCCTCCTCCCTGCAAAAGCTCCCGTCTTGTACCCACGGGTGTCAGCCTAGACGTCCTGCTCCCCCTCTGTGTCATAGGCATCTACTCCCCCCAACCCGGGTAACACCCCTCCTTTCTGGAAGAGTTCAGTTCCTGCCTCAATGTCATGACACTACTGCTCCTGTCTTCATTCTTGCTGATTTCAGTATCCACATATCCACAGAGATGATCCGTCTAACAGTCTAGCCCCATGGTTCTTTGACACTACTCAGCCTCTCACTCCATGGAAATGCCCTAGACCTTATCACTGCCAATAACTGCAATCCCTTCTTAATCTCAACATCACCCAGATCATTTTCCAACAGCCAGTTTCTATCTGTCAACTCACACCCTCTAGGACTCAAAAATTCTTCTACCCACTGGAGGTCCAACAGCTTTCGCTGTTCCTCGCCCTTCTCATGTTTCATTTCTCTCCTTACGTGCCTTAAATTCCACGGCCAGTCATTAAAATTACTCCTTTGCACCTTCGGTCCTCTTGTTTCATTCTCATACTTGCTTGGGAAAACCTCCACCCTGGTTAAAACTATCTGTGTGACTCACACCTGTAAGCACACAGATGGATACAGTTGAGGGAAATGCACAGTAAGTCTGGCTGCTCTTGTTGGAAATTCAAGACCGTGAACCTCAGTGGGCCCCTAGAGCTGCCCGTCAGTCCTGCTACATTCCCCTAACCCATTCACTCCTCTGGATTTCTGCTTCTACCTTTCTTCCTGTTCTCAAACAGCCCACGTCTGCCTACCACCAGCATCACACACTCACCTGAGACCTTGTTCCCTCTTTTACTGAGAAAATAGAAACTGTAAGGAAAGCATGTCCACAATCTCCACCAGCACTCCTGCTACCGCGGGTCAGCTATCCGCCCTCAGCTCTCAGCAGAGGCCAGCTTCTCTCCTTGGGCACTAGTTCCCAACCCCTCCTACATCCTCGCTTTGCTCTGGTGATTCTGCGTCTCTTACATTGCCAGATTTTTATTTTCCATTGGATCGTTCCCATCAGCATACCATGCGCAGCTATTTCTCCCTTCCTAACCACTTCCACCTCTCCATGCTCTTCGAAAGAGTTGCTGACGCCCCTGGCTCCAAATCCTCTCCTATCATTCTCTCTTGCAGCTCTTCTAGTCTGGCCACCGATAACCTCCACCTTGCTTCAACTATGGCTCCTCCTCAGTTCTACTCTTACTTGACCACATCAGCACAACTGGTCCCTCCCTTCTCCGGGAAGCATTTTCTTTACCTGGCTTCCAGGACAGCACCGTTTCCTGCTGTTCCTCCATCCTCACTGCCTGCTCGTCTCAGTCTCTTTTTCTGCTTCCTCCTCATCTGACCAACTTGTATATATTAGAGCAGCATTCCAAGGCTCAGAACTTGACCCTCACTCTCCACTCCAGTGATCCAGTCCTACGCCTCGAACCGTCATCTGTCTCCATGCTGGCGACTCCCATGTTGTGTGTCCAGTCTCTCCTCTGAACCGCAGACGCATATCCAGCCGCCTGCCTGGCATGTCCACAACCCAGCTCCCGGTGCCCCTGCCGTCCTGCACTTCCCATCCAGCATTTCCTGTCTTTTTCATCCAATGGCAGCACCTCCAGTTGCTCAGTCCACAAGCCTTAGTCATCCTGGATTCCTCTCTTTCACGCTCCCCGTTCAATCTATCAGCAAGTCTGGTTGGCTCCACCTTCAAAATATTTCCAAAATCTGACCACCTCACGGCTCTCATCGCAGTCCAGGCTACCACTATCTCTCTTTTTTTTTTTTGCGGTACGCGGGCATCTCACTGCTGTGGTCTCTCCCGTTGCGGAGCACAGCCTCCGGACGCGCATGCTCAGTTGCCATGGCTCACGGGCCCAGCCGCTCCGCGGCACGTGGGATCCTCCCGGACCAGAGCACGAACCCGTGTCCCCTGCATCGGCAGGCGGACTCTCAACCACTGCTCCACCAGGGAAGCCCGAGGCTACCGCTGTCTCTTGCCTGGGTTGCCACAGAGTCCTCCCAAATGACCTCTCTGCTTGCCCTCACCCCCATTTATTCTCAGTGCCAGGGTCAAAGTGACCCCTTTAAAACATGAGTCACTTCATGTCACTCCTTTGCTCAGGTAACCCCCATGCCCTTCACTCTCCCCTGTCCAGCCACGCCGGCCCATTAGCTTTTCCTCTGCTCCAGGCAAGCTTGCACCACCACTACTACCGCCCCCAGGCTTTTGCTCTGCCTGCAGTGTCTTTCCCCCACGGCTGCATGGTCTGCTCCCCTCTCTTCAAGTCTTCGCTCAGATGTCATCCTCTCAGTGAAGCCTTCCGCAATCACCCTCTTTACAATCCTAATCTCACCCTGACCCCTGCACTGCTTCTCCCCACTAGAATCCCACGAGGGAGGGCTTTTTTTGTCTCGTTCACTGATATACCACCAGCATTAGTCTAGCACAAAGCAGTCGTTCACCAAATATTTGTCGAATGAACAAGCCTACTTTTCTTGAATGGGAGTGAAGAATTTCTAGGGTGTGATGCAGTCTGGAGCCAAAACAAATGATCTTTTAAAATCAGACCAACCTTGCAGATAAGTCCAAGCAGCTGCTGGTCACATCCAGCTTTTGCTCGTACTTTCCGCTCTTACCCAGGCCTGAAGAATACGGATGCCCGTGACCACGAGCTCAGCATCTGAGTCTCTGACTCACTGTATTGGCTCACGACCATGAACAGGTGTTGATCTCCCCGGTTCAAGTTCTAGATGAAACAGGGAGTCATTGCTGTGTGTCAGGCACTCTGTATCCTTTCCTTACTTAGTCTTGGGAGCTATTGCCTTTCTTGGAAACTAGATGAGAGAATCGTAAGACGTTAAAGATGATCGTCAGTGGCCCTACCTGCGCGGCACCCCGTGATACAGTGGTTCCATCCTCTAAACTGAATCTTTCCTCCCTGAGACCTTTGTGAGGCTGGTTCATTTATATACAAGAAAACCTTCACAAAGGTAGAAGTAGGAAGGCCCATTGGAACGACTGCTTTGTGCATTTTACAACTCTTTTAGCAAAAGGAGCAAGTGGTACAAAATAAACACTCTCCCGGGGAATCTGGGCTATTCTGTCATCTTGGCCCTGGGTTTGAGGAAGTGGTGTCTTACAGCAGCAGTCCCCAGCCTATTTGTCACACGGGACCGGCTTCATGGAAGACAATTTTTTCATGGACTGGGGGCGGGGGTAGGGCATGGTTTCGGGATGATTCAAGCACATTACATTTATTGTGCACTTTATTTCTGTTATTATTACATTGTAATATATAATGAAATAATTATACAACTCGGCACAATGCAGAATCAGTGGGAGCCCTGAGCTTGTTTTCCCGCAACTAGCTGGTCCCATCTGGGGGTGATGGGAGACAGTGACACCCGAAGTGTGTTGCTTACGTCTAGTCTGCTCTGTAAGATGCAGCTTAATTGTCACTTGCCACTCACTGATAGGGTTTTGATATGAGTCTGCCAGCAACTGATTTATTATGGTCTCTGTGCAGTCAGACCTCTCTGCTAATGATAATCTGTATTTGCAGCCGCCCCCCAGCGCTAGCATCACCGCCTCAGCTCCACCTCAGATCATCAGGCGTTAGATTCACATAAGGAACGCACAACCTAGATCCCTCGCATGTGCAGTTCACAGTAGGGCTCCCGCTCCTGTGAGAATCTAATGCTGCCCCCGATCTGACAGGAGGCGGAGCTCAGGCGGTAATGTGAGCGAAGGGAGCGGCTGTAATCGCTGGCCCGCTGTTCACCTCCTGCTGTGTGATGTCCCACCAGGGGGTTGGGGACCCCTGTCTTAAAGGACAGGGCTGCATGCCATCTCAGGGCTGAGCCTCCTGCCTTGACCGTTTATAAGCTCAGCACACCCCTCCCAGCTCCCTGGCAGGCTTCTGCGTGTTGTGTAATGGGGGGGGGGCCTCATGTTTGACCTGGAAACCCCTCTGTTCACCAGGGAGCCTCCCAGGATGACTGTCTCACCGGGCAACCTGAATATGGTGGAAAAGTCCCGGAACTTCTCGGCTGACGACTGCTTCCACTCTCGGAGCACTGTCCTGCAGGGGCAGCCCTTTGGGGGTATCCCCACTGTGCTGTTCCTCAACGTTATCTTGTGGGTGGTGAGTTCTGGGCAGTGCAGTGGGCAGACAGAGAGGTCTCACCCAGGGTGGATGGTCCAGCTTTCACAAATGATACAAGGGGCCCCAGCTGTCCGTGGATGCCAGCCACAGTGGTGGGAACCATCTGAATGTCAGTCCTGCCCAGGGAGGCCCAGGGTGGGTGGGCCTTGGAGAAGAGGAGGCTGCAGGAGCACTGGAATCCCTGATTCTCTTCCTTGCACCCTTGTCCAAAGGTCCCCCTGGCCAGTGCCCTTGAGCCTCCCATCTGTCCCCTGATTTATTCAACGAGTGCTCTGTCCACTGTTCTGAACATGCCACCAGCGCCTCCGTTCAACCGCTCTGAGCATCCACTCTGTGCTAGGATGCTGCTGGGCACTGGGAATCTAGAGTTGCAGAAGGCATGACCCCCACCCTGACAGAGCTGGCCACCTAGCGGGGAGCCCCTGGGGACCTCAGGGACAGTCTTCCCCATGGGAATTCAGGGGTCAGTCGAGGGGAAGGCATCCATGAGCTCTCTTGCACCATATTGCTTTTCCTGACCTATAGGTCATCGTCTTGGTTTACTCCTTCCTCCGGAAAGCCGCATGGGACTACGGACGCCTGGCTCTGCTGATACACAACGACAGGTGAGGAGAGGCTGGGCGTCGGGAGTGAGCTGCTAGCTTCATCGGGGGATGTGCTGCCGTGACCAGTGCCCAAACTGCACAGGTGTCTCGTCAGCAGGTGGCGTCTCATTACCACCCCTGCCCGTGTTCTAGCCCTCCCTGCATTAGGGTGACTTGGAGAGCAGCCACCTCTGGGCACGAGGCCACTTTTTTCTCAGATCTCAGCCTTTCTGGATCTCATGGCTCCCAAGATGCGTTGGCCACCTGTCTGTGCCCAGAGCTGTGTGCTCAGCAAACACGTTGAGGCGTGTCTGCTACTGGGCAGGAGGGGACCACAGCCCTCAGCCCAGGGAGCAAGGCTGGCACCTAAGAACTTTCTCCTTTTCCACCTCCCCACTACCCTTCCCGGCCGGCAGCCTGACCTCGCTGATCTATGGGGAGCAGAGCGAGAAGACGTCTCCCTCGGATATTTCCCTGGAGATGGAACACAGGGACAAGGTGGGTGCTGGGGTGGGCCTGGGCCTGGTGAGGGCGGGGGCAGGGGTCCGGGCATCTGCAGGAAGGAGCGGGTTCATCAGCTGGGGCTTTGCAATCAGCCACCCAACCACTCCTAGCAACGTGACCTTGGACAAATGCCTCCACCTTGCCAAGCCTGTCTCCCCATCGGAAATAGGGAGACACTGACCGTACCTGCCTCCTAGGGTGCCGAGAAGGTGGTGGCAGTAAGTGCACGAAGGAGAAAGGGAGCAAGGAAGGCCCTCCAGAGCGATGGAGTGGAGCTAAAGCGCTCTAGATGGCGCTCGGGACTGGTCCGAGCTGAACTCCAGAAGAGCGGTCTGGCTTGCTGTCTCCACATTCTCACCTCCCCCTCACTCCTCAACCCCTCACACGTGGCTCCCACCCAGAGAGCCCCAGGGCCACCAACGGTCCCATGCGATGAAATCCAATGGGCTTTCCTCAGTTCTCATCTCTCAGAAACACCTGAGCCTGCAGATCATCTTCCCTCCCTTTTTTTTTTTTTTTTTTTTTTTTGCGGTACGCGGGCCTCTCACTGTTGTGGACACTCCCGTTGCGGAGCACAGGCTCCGGACGCGCAGGCTTAGCGGCCATGGCTCACGGGCCCAGCCGCTGCGAGACATGTGGGATCTTCCCGGACCGGGGCATGAACCTGCGTCCCCTGCCTCGGCAGGCGGACTCTCAACCACTGCGCCACCAGGGAAGCCCTCTTTTTAAGTTTTTTAAATAACGTATATTTTATTTTTAAAAAATATTTATTTATTTATTGGCTGCGTCGGGTCTTAGTTGCGGCACGCAGGATCTTTCGTGGCAGCGAATGGGCTTCTCTCTAGTTGTGGCCTGCAGGCTTAGTTGCCCCGTGGCATGTAGGATCTTAGTTCCCTGACCAGGAATCAAACCGGCATCCCCTGCATTGCAAGACCGACTGTCAACCACTGGACCACCAGTGAGGTCCCTGCATTCCTTTTCTTCAGCAGTCTTAACCCAGTCCGTGATGATTCCTCATCTACACAGTTAATCTAGTGTGCCCGCTTCCCCCACTGAGAGCTATACCGGTCTTACTCCCCACTGTCCCAGCACCTGGTCCAGCCTGTCGTGTAATTAGTATCTGATATGTGTTTGTTGGAAGCAAATTTTCATCCATTTTCATCCCTCCAAGAGACCTGGTCCCTTTACTTGCCGAGACCTGCCCCTGACAAGAATGGGAGCCTCAGACAGGTTCACGTCCTGGAGGTTTCCTCTGTCGAATAAGGACAGCACCACCTACCTTGCAAGGCAATTCTCAGATTTATCTTTAGAAACATCACTTCAGCTTTGTGTGGTTTTTTTTTTCTGTACAATGACATTTTATTTTAAAAATATCTAGAAGATAAATCATGATGGCAGCAGTGGGGTAGTCAAACAGAAGAGGGTAGAAATTAGACACGGAGGAGGAGTGCGCTGAGGTAGCCCCTGCAGGGCCCCAGGCAGATGGCGAGGCCTCAGCCAGGCTGAGTGGAGTGGGTGAAGCGAACAGGTCTCCTCATAGCGCCCTCAGCAAGTCAGGGCGGATGTGGCGGGAGTGGGGAGGATGGAGCCACTGAGGTGGGTGCAGTGAACTGACCGCTGTCACTCAGGCTTGTCAGCTGAGCTGGCTCCTGGGAGCCTGTGGCCATTTCCATGGGGTGGGGAGAAAAGGAGAGATGTGTCTGCTTCTCAGGCCCACTGTTCAGCTGCTAAGTTTTCTGAATGGTTTATGCCTTTCAGAGGTACAATATATATGCAGGGGAGTGTGTGTGTGTGTGTGTGTGTGTGTGCACGTGTGTGTGAGAGAGAGAGAGAGGGAGAGAGAAAGAGAGAATATGGGTCCATACCTGGTCACTCACACATCTGTGTCCACGTGCCTTTCATGGGTACATAGGCCACACTTCTACTCACTACCTCTGTCCTCCCACCGATACTCCTCCACTCCGCATATCCACTAGGGCCCGTCAGCAAACCTGCTTGCTCCCTTAATGAATTGCACGTTGGCCCAGAGGTGGGAGGTGAGGAAAGACTCCCCATGTAGGGAAGGGGTGGCCAGACTCTCAGCCCAAGTCTTGTCTAGCAATTCACCCCCTCCCTGGGACTTTCCCAGTCGCCGCTGCCACCATCATGCCATTTCCCGTCATCGCTCTGCCTCATCCCCGGGCTTTTATCCCTACTTTAGTTCCCTAGGATATAGCTGGGGAAATGGTCCCCCCACAAGTGGACATTCCTGATGGACATTCCCACTGTCAACCCACCCAGCACAGGGAGGAGGCCTAGAAGGTGGGAGCCTCCTTCTGTTTCATGTTTGCCTGCCCCTCATTTCTTCCTTTTGGGAAATATGCCTTCCCCAATCCACGTGGTTCTGGGGGACTATCAACCAAGTGGGCCTGCCTGGGTCGCTGATGGGCTCACGACCCAGTCAAGAGCTGCAGCCTTTTCCAAGGTTTCGCCAAACCCCCTGGGATCCCGGAAGGAAGCATGACCAGGGTAACTGAAGCAGCTACGACATCTGGCAGCTTTTAGAGCTGTGGCCCTCTGCCTACGCTACGCATACAGTCCCCGAGCTGACTGCCTCTCTAGCCCCTCCCAGCCCCCGGCTGAGGCCACCTTTCCCCACCACCCGGAAACTCCAGACAGCAAGACCCTGAGAGAAATGTATAATCGACAGGACCCCCAGATGCAGAAGAAGAAACCCAGCTCAAGTTAGCATTATAACAAAAGGGTGATGTGTGGCCTGAGTGCGGGGAAATCTAAGGGAAGCAGCTGCTTCAGGTACAGCTAGATCCAGGAAGTCCAGCATTGCCACCAGGATCCCCTCTGTGGTCCTCTCTCCTCTGAGCAGGCTTTTTATCTCAGACAAGCTCCTGCATGTGGCATCAGAGACTCACAAAGCCCCTCCAGGATGCCTGGTGTTGACCGAGATGCAAGAACTCAGAGGAAGACCCTTCTCCCAGCACCCATATCAGTCCCCTTAAGAGCATTTTGCTTGGCCCCTCTTGGGTCATGTTCCCGTTGGTCAACTGACCACCGGTAGCAGACACCTTCTTGACGGACAGTCCGCCGGGCCACATGCATAAGGGAGGGGCATTTCCCAGAAGGAAGCAACAAGGGACAGACAGAAAGCAATTGACGTCCACCCCAAAGTCCCTTCTCTCCCTCCAGTCTGAGGCCCACCCTCTAAGCCACCACTTGCTGTAACAGGATGCCCGACTTCTGAAAAGTCTGAAAAGACATCTCCCTCAGCACCGATTCCAGTCCAGACCTTGCCGGGGGTGGGGAAGCCCCGGACACTGCCTCACTGCCTCAGACGCCCCAGCGCTGGGTTTTCTCACACTTTCTCTCCTTTTTCCCCAGGGCTTCTATTCCTGGTTTTTCAACACCATCACCATGAAGTAAGTGCCTGAGCTTCCGGAGCCTTATCTGGGGGAGGGTGGGGACAGGGTCTCCTGCCCTGCAGGACCAGGCCTTGGGCCTAAGTTCTGTGCCCCAACGGCCACTCCCCACTCCCCCTGCCCACCGCAGCCCGGCCCTGGCACAGGACGCTTTCTCGTGTTCCGTTGGTGAAATGGGAACTGGACGCTGCCCACAGCCCATTTTCCCTCTGCCACAGTTCTCAGGAAAGACCCCTCTCACATGCTTGTAAAAATGCTTTTATGAAGCCCACACAAGGAAAAAGAAATCCTTCCCAGGTACTCTTTGCTTTACTTCTGTGAACATCGTTCTTCATATTTGCCTAGATGGAAAAAACAAAAACCACCAGGCGGAAGGGCAGGCTTCCTCTCCCAGCCTCCATGCCCATTACGGAGGGACAGCCCCTGGCCCACCACACCTTCTGGATCTCTTTAGTGTGAGACCCCACTTGGCAAGGAGAGAGACCCCGAGTCACCTGTCATCTCCCGATGGCCTCATACCAGCCAGACGCCTCCGCAGAGCAGACACCTGTCAGAGCTCCATGCCTCCACACACATGCACACACACGTGCACACACATGGGCATACACACTTACATGTGTATACACAGCTGTCTCCACCTCAGAGCACTGTGTGTTCCTGGGCTCTCCCTAAATATCCCCCATCTGGCCTGCCCTGCCTGTCCTTTGAACCCCTCCTCCAGGGTCCGTCCTTGCCTGGTGATGCCTGCCTTAGGGTGCAGCCTCAGTGCTCCCCAGAGGCCACCTGCACCAGGGGCCTGCCTGGACATGCACGTCTGCTTCTTTGCCAAGGCCCTTAGGGCTTCTTCCTTCATGTACCTCCATGCCCACACCATTCAAGGGCCTTGCTGGGAGCATTCAGACATTGCCGTAAGATCCCATCCACCCGCATGAGCTACACCAGGGCACCTCTCTTTCCCCAGACCTGTTGAAGGGCCTGGGACCCTTTGGGGGCACAAGATACCATGACTGGGCCTTGGGAATCCAGAGCTGGGCTTGGGACCAGCAGCCTCTGGGGTTTGAGCCCCAGCTCCACTGGTGGAGGACGCCCCATGGCCTTGGCCTCTTGTCTTCGTTCATCGTTCACCAGAGTCCCGAGGAAGTGATACAGCTAGTTTGTGCGTGGGCGGGAATCTTAGCCACATGTTGGGGGAGTGGGGGGGAGGCTTTTATTTCTTAGCACCTTCTCTGGTTTTGCTTTGTTAATTTTTAAAACATGCACCAGCTTGCATAAATACATTTTTATTAAGAGAAACCTATACCTCCAGTCTCTCATGCCCCTCTTCATGACCGCCCTTTCCTGCAGAAGCCAAAGTCCCAGCGCGCAAAGCCCACTCAGTCTAGTTACAAAAACATGGGTTGACAAGACCCACTACACATGATTGATAATGGGGAGAGCATAACTGCTGGGCAGAGGGCATTTGGGAGAGCGACAAATTAATTCCAATTTGGGAGTTCAGAAGAAGCATAGTGTTGAGCGAGGCCTTGAGGAATGGGAAGAATTTTGACCGTTGTGATGTGGAGGGCCCATCAGAAATTAAGGACTGCATGAGCAAAGGTTTGGGGCAGAGATGGACAGGGAGTGTCCAGAAATGGTAAATCTTCTGGTGTGGCTAGAAACAAGAGTACATAGCAAGAGAGGGGATGAAAGATTGGGCCGGAAGGGTCAGCTGGGATCTTGACTACCATACCGAGAATCTTGGCCTTTGGTTTAGAGGCAGCAGGGAGCCAGCGACTACTTTTGAGCGGGACACTCAGGTGATGTCTGTAGGCAGGGGCATGAGGGGTGAATGGCAGTAGGAAGAGTCCAAAGGCAACGTGAGCAGCTAAGGTTTTTCCAGTGTCCAGGTGAGAGGTGTGGTGACCAGGGAAACAACACGGAGGAGACGTGGGGAGGGAGATGATGGGGCAACAGCAGTCAATGGGTTGTTTCCACCTGGTTAGGAAAAAGGGAGAAATCGAGGTCTGGCTTCTGCGGAGGGTAATAATACCACCAGTTGGGAGATGAGGAGAGATGATGAGTTGGGAAATTAATGACATAGGGCCGGGGTGAGCATGTGAGTTGACCGGCAGGCTGTTGAGAAACAGGATTAAAGCTTAGGAGAAAGGTCGGAGCTAGAGATTTAGACTTGGGATATGGGTGCACAGAGGTCGTAGTTGAAGTCATGGGAGCAGATGGGACACCCAAGGGAAAGGGCCCAAGGAAGAGACTGGTTGGGACAAGAGGAAAAGGTGGCAACCTCTAGGGCACGGGCTCACTGAAGCCAGGCAGGCGCGAGGTCCAGACGGTGTGGTCAGCAGCCTCCAGCCCTACAAGGTTGAGTAGCATGAGCGCTCAGCAGAGGATGTCGGCTTTGGGGATGCGAATCTCCACTGGGAGCGCAGTTCCGGGACGAGGAGATGTCCAAGAAGTAGGGGCAGAGAATGGAAGCCACCTTTTTCAAGAGGTGGGTGGGAGCAGGGAAGGAAGGATATTGGATGGAACTTGAAGGGAAACTGGTGAAGGAGTGGATGCTTAAGGAGTTTCTTGGGGTTTTGTTTTTTAAGAGTAGCAAATGAGCCCTTGAACCTGGCTGTAGTTGAAAGGGAAGAAGTGTGGGCATCTGTAGAGACAGATGGATGTTAATTTAAAGATGAGACAGGTAGAGCAAGTCTCCAGCAAGAGGTAGAGGAGAGGAAGTGATTAGAGCAGAGATGAGAATTAATTGTGAGTAGGAGAAAGAGTGATGCCTGGAATGTCATGGGGCCGGCACTTTAAAAAGTGGCGGGAAGAGAACAGAATTGAGTAGAGGAATATGTATAGGCAGACTCAAAAATTCAGGCTTCCCTCAGAACTGTAAGATAGGCTGCTGAGTATAACCTGCGCTGGTGCAGATGGAGCAATGGGCCCAGTGGGGAGGCGGGAATTGTCAGCCCAGAAAGGAGATTCTTGTGTTCTTCGTCCCGTCCAACCCTCTGCTCCCTCCACCTGGATGGAGGCTCTCACCCTGCCTCTGGCACGCTGTTTCTATCAGGTGAGCAGATCTTGGCACCCCAAGCCTGCAGGGGGACATTCCCCCATTCTCCCTTCTCACCAGTTCTCATCCCCCCCATTCTTGGGATTTAATTCTCAAGTCCAAGGCAGGAAGTATTTTAACTGCTTGAAGTTAAAAAAAGGTTGAGAGCTCTAAATAATTACCTAAATGGTGATACTGAAAGCCTTAAAGATATGCTCTTTGTAATATTGTTGAAAAATAAATCTGAATCCTGGACTGAGTGCTAGGAGTTGCATGCAACCTTCAAGTCTGATCAGAGGGCAAGGGTGAGTAAACTATGGCATGTCCACCAAAGGCGGGGGCGTGCAGCTTGGGGCTGGGTGTGAATCAATAATCCACAAACAGAGGCTATTGTCACCATTATTATTAGGCAGCCATAAAAATATTTAGACAAAATGTAAAACGGTCAGAAAAGACTTAAGATTAAATGCTGAGCAAAAGAGCAGTACATCAAATGCTGTTTATACTACAGTCACAAGTTAAACCAGCAATACAATAAGAAGCTAAAGGAAATTGGCCAGAATGATTAATAGCCATTATCTTAGGTTTGATGAGATTGTAGGTGAATGATTTTCTTCTTTTGTTATTTTCCAAAGTTTCTATAATAAGCATGTATTGCTTTAAAGTTTTTTAATTGAAGTATAACACACATACAGAAAAGTGCACAAAAAATGTGTCCAGCTCAATCATCACAAGCAAAGCCTATACAAGCACCATCCCGATAAAGAATTAGAACATTGCCAAGACCCCAGAAGCCCTCCTCCTTCTCCCTCCCAATCTCCTATCACCTCCCGCCTCTCCAAAGGTAACCAGTATCCTGACTTCTAACTCTGTAGTTCAGTATTGCTTATTTTTGAACTTTGTATATGAAATGATATGGTATGTATTGTTTGTGCCTGACATCTTTTACTCAACGTTGCATTTGTGGGGTTCAGCTATGGTCATTCATTTTTATCTCTGTATGGTATTTCATTACATACATATAATGTGATGTATATAGCTCACTATATATATATATTTCACTACATATATATTTCAATTCTTGTGTCCATTCTACCTTTGATAGACAATTAGGTTGTTTCCAGTTTGGGGCTGTTACAAAATAACGTGTCTGTGACATTCTTATACATGTCTCTTGGTGCCCATGTGCATGTATTTCTGTTGGATATAAACCTAGGAGTGGAATTGCTAGGTCATAGGGTATACTTATAGTCAACTTCTGTAGATAATGTCCACTCTTATCCAAAGCTGTGTGCCAGAGTAAGTACCCGTGAGTGTGAGAGAGCTCCCGGCATCCCACACCCTCACCAGCACTTTCTCATCAACACTTTCCTCACCGACTTTCCAACTTTGGCCAGTCTGGCAGTGTGGAGTGATACCTCATTGTGGCTTTGAGTACCCCTTTTTAATTTAAGGAACAACTTTTTGAAAAATAGGATGAATCCTGTTATCACTAATGGTTTATTCAGTGCCTGCGCTATAGCAAGCACTCAACATGTTTGAAGAAGCAATAAAAGAGGAAATAAATGCCTGATTTAAGAGGGCTTCTGGATTCCCAGGAGTGTATCTGTAGCCTCTATCTTTGATACGCCTGTGAAATTCAGTGAAATACATTTCAGGCATAACAAGTTTTGAGAAGGGTGATATCTCTAAAGATTAAAAACTCGGGGGTAGGGTGGTCATCTTCTCTCCCTTTCCTCTACCTCCGACTTCCGTTGTAGCCACACTGGCTCCTGAGCAATGTCCTTGTCTCTGTGTCTCTTCCAGGAACGAAGATCTGATTAGCAAGTGTGGAGACGATGCCCGTATCTACATCATGTTCCAGTATCATCTCATCATCCTTGTGCTTATCCTCTGCATCCCCTCCTTGGGCATCATTTTGCCCATCAACTACACTGGAAATGTTCTGGGTAGGCAGAGCTCAGCAGGTCCCGGGCCCGGCCCACTAGACCTAAGAGGCAGCCCGGTAGGCAGGACAGAACTTGGGTCTTGAGCGTCTAGGAATCTAAATGTTAATTGCACTTCCCAAAATTAGTTATGTGACCTTAGGCAACCCACGCTTCAGTTCTCTCACATGGAAACCGGAGATGATACCTCTTTTGGTATAAATTTGGCCCAGGGCCTGGCACACAGAAGGCAGATAGTAGTAATTCAGTCTAAAACTGAATGTTTATTTATGACCCCACACTGCATCTGTCCAGATGTTCCTGGAGGCCTTGTTATGACATGTGACCCACTACAAAGATCTCTGGACCTGATCTCTCTCTGTACCCACTCTGATGGACACAGCACGCAGAATTTCTCATAGGGATTCTATCCACACTCCTTATAACAGGGTAAATTTTCACACAATAATGTGGTGGGTGAGGGCTTGGGCTTCAAAGACAGAAAAATCATGGTTCCCCAACTTTTACCCACATCTGCTTCCCAGAAAATTACTTCATCTTATACAGTGTCCTCAGGCCTCAGTTTCCTCAACTGTCATAGGGATAGAGAGACAATGCGTGTCAAGTGGTTGGCACAGTGCCTGATAGTGGGCACTTTGAATAACAGCCAGGGTTTCACTAGGAAATGCAAACATAGAGCTGTATGAGGCCCATACAACTAGGTGGTACAGGATAGCACCTTAAGTGCCCAGGTGGCAGCCAGGTGTACGCTGATTGCTCAAGTTTCCACCTATTTCTCCTCGGCCAGTGGTAGACCTCAGTTACTTCAAGGTAGCACCCATTTCTCATGCTACCAAATACCACCACCAGAGTAAATAACTACTGAGCCCTGCCTTCCCAGATTCTCATCCTAAGAGCTAGTATGTTGGCAATGATAGTATGATAGTACGGCAATGATAGTATGATTTCATAAAACTTGGAGATGTCTAAACCAGCGCACTGATACACTCAGCCAGAAGGATTTACTCTGTTTGAATGAGGCAGCAATGCATTTTCAGAAGTTCTGGGTTTTGTGATTGTTGCCAGCGGTAACAGTGTTGCTAATTTCATCATTCCGCTCATGGTGGGGCTGCCGGGTCCCTCCCACAAGCGTTCACCGGTGTCTACCCTGAGTCAGTCACGCTCTGGGGTTGCCGCACCAATGCTCGGTCTTGCTTCACAGCCGAGGAGCCCCAGTCAGCAGTCCCAGGGAGGAGAGGAGGCCTCTGATGGGGCTGTTTGGAAGCTGGGGACAACCTCTGGGGAACTAGGAGGAAGACCAGGACGTAGACAAGCATCTCTAGACCCCGGGCATTCGCTCAGGAACCCTGAAGTCTGGCACCCAACCAGTCAAGGTGCCAGGCTTGAGGTCAGCAACTTTCTTCTCTTTCAGACTGGAATAGTCACTTTGGTCGGACCACCATTGTCAATGTCTCCACAGAGTAGGTACCTGATCCTCTTACCTCCCATTCTACTGGCTTGGGGGCTGGGTGTTAGCGTGGAGAGATGGTCCAATGTGTGGGTCCGAAGCATGAGCCCCACTCTGCTGATAAGAAAGGCCTGATTTCCTGGGGAGCCCAGGTTCCAGGTGGGATGCCGGAAGTTGCATCCTCTTGGTGAGGAAGTATTCTTGGTGTCTCAGTGTCCCCATCTCTGTAATGGGTGGAACTACCTAAACCGGTCACTCCTGAAGATTTGCAAATATGGTCCTATTTGCTTAGTATGTCCAGCTCCCAACAGGATTACTGCAGTAAGCAGAGGTTTAAGGTATTGCTTCCCTGCCCACAAAATAGTTCAGGTCAACCCTCATATAACCGAGTGAAGCTCAGACCTGACTCCCACAGCAGCGAGACAGAGGAACCACAGGAGTTGGGTTCATGCCCCGGCTTTGCCATTAGCCTGCCCTGGGTCTGGGGCAGTGCACCCTCCCGCTCTGAGCTTCATCCCTAGTCCATGGTGGGGGGAAGAGCTGTTGGACATGACCTCTAAGCCCCCTCCAGCCCTCATGGTCCGGGAACCTGTGGATTTTAACGTCAGCCAACCCAGTTGGTGACCAGATCAATCTGCACTGAGCCAGATGCGGCCCTGCCGGTCCAGGCTGAGACATCAGTCCCCCCCTAGGTCTCATGGCCAGGCTTGGCCGACTTCCTGACAGAGCTGAAGCACTACTTCCAGTACCTGAAGCAGGTGTGAGTGGGGTTTGCACACTCCTGCCCCACCTCCCCTTGCCCCACCCCTGGTCCCCTGCCCCTGCACCCTGCAAACTCCATCAAATTCCAAATCCATCAAAGTCCAAACTCAGCAGAATGGTTGGGCACCCTCTCGCCTCCACCTTCAACCAACTCTTTCCCGGGTACTGGCAACACCAGAGCAGAGCTTACCAGCCTCTCCCAGGCCAGCCACTGTTGTAAGTGTGGCACCTACAACTTCCCAACTAGAAGTGAATTTTAATAGGACAGCAAAGAGCCTTCAACGTTTGTAAGTCCATACTGGCAGAGAGCTGGAATGTCCCTTAGGGACCGTGTCACCTTGCCCCCTCCGAGAACACTGAGGAGAGAAACATGTAACTAGATGGGGGAGGTTAGGTGAAATGCCAGCGCGGGGACAGTGGAGGAGATATTCTGAAGCAAGGCAGCCTTTCTCTCCTCCAACTGCACCACATAAGGTGGGCCCCATTTCCGAGCAGTCCTCCTGGCTGGGTGCCTTGGGACAGCATCACGTGAGCACAGAGCCCAAGGGCCAGCCCTCTTCCTACCCCAGGGAGGCGGGCCGAATCTGCAGGCCTGCGTGTGACCCCGGAGTCCCTTACCACAGAGGCCGGGGGGCCCCTCCTGCTGTCCTCACGGTCGGCGGGGGCGGCCTGAGCCACAGCCGCTGGCAGCACGACACGGCGTGAAGAGTGTAAGTGCTTCTGCAGCTCCGGGCTCACCTCCCGGCACTGCCACAGCTAGGAGTGACCTCGAGCGGTCACTCTAGCCCTTGTTTCCCTACGGGTAAAATGAAGACATTCACGGTACCACCTTCACGAGGTGCAAGAGTCTAGGGAGAAAATGTCCACAAAGCATCTAGTCCCCCCCTGGGCCTGACGTAGAGTAAGCACTCAATGAACGTGAGCCTCTATTAGTCGGAGTGGACGTCCCCTTCTCCATTCCCTTCCAAGGTGCCTGAGCGGAGGCACCAGAGGGTGGCGCTGGGGAGACCGTGTGGGGTGGAAGCGGGGGTCTCACGCCTCTTGTGTCTCGTTCTTGGCAGGAGTAAGTTCCTGTGGCTGCACAGCTTCTTCGCTTTCTTATACTTTGTCACCAACTTCCTCTTCATGACTCATCACTGTTTAGGGTTTGTGCCCAAGAAGAGCTACAAGGTGAGTAAGTGAAAAGAGCTACTAGAGCAACACCCTCTCGGCTAGAGGCTCTCCCCAGCTGGACACCATCCCACGCCCATACTTCAGAGGCATCCCAGCTTGGTGTGTTCTGCACACCTGGGGGTGGGCAGTCTCACCTGAGTAGGGCAAGCCTCCTCCGCTTATCCCTGGGTATCGTCACCTGGCACATCTGTCTGGGCTGTTAAACCACTAATACACTTCCAAACCAATTGGTAAATAGCTGCTCCCAGGTGCCTCCTCCCCCTGCACCCCTGCTGCCCTGGACCCTCTCCAAGGACCCCTGGACCTCCCCACCATCAGAAAACTAAAGGCTTAACTAAGCCCTGAACCTGCAAGGGGCCTCCGTCTTCAGCGGCCAGGGCCCCCTGCTGACCCTCTGGGTAGATATTTTGACCTGCTGTGCCCAAGCTCCTTGCCCTTCCACCATCTCCCTGAGGTCAGAGACATGCCCTGCCCCAGTGTTGTCCCCACTGTCTTGGTTTGTGTGTCCCCCATCCTACCTCCCAAGCAGACCCTGAGAGAGGGATTTGAGGAGCGTTCACTTATTTGGGAGGTGATCCCAGGAAGGACCACTAGGTGGGTAGGGTCTTCTGCGGTGGAAGGTGGCAGGTAAAAGCGAGGTCAGCTCCTTCAAGCCGTCCATCCTACAGGACGGATTCACCTTACCCCACCCCAGAATGCAAACGCACGTACCCCTGAAAGGTAATCCCGAATGTTTCAGCCTGAGGCTTGGGCACCCCGACCAGTCTGGACTCGGCCGCTTCAGCTTTCCTTCTTGCCACCAGAAGCTTCTGCCCAGACTCCCCTCTTTTGCAGCACAGTTTACCAGACTGTCACCTTGAGGCGATGGCTCAGGAAGACATTTCCCACTCACAGAATAAAATGTGGACTTTGAGGGGCTTCCACATTCCCTCCCCAGAGTCCAGCTCGCCTCCTAACTGCCCTGCGCAGTCTGATGAGAGGGACGACCCAGCGAGGTGGGACGTCACTTGGAGTGGCGGAGGTGCGGGGAGACTGTAATCAACGAGAGAGTATGAGCAGCCCTTGCAGGGCGTGGGCTGTGGTCCTTCCCCAGGCCCTGTCTGCAGCCTCTGGCTCGCCCTCCATCACAGCCTCTATGGCAAGGGGTCCACGGGGGGCACAGAGGTTAACAGAGGTGTAGCTTCCCTGGCTGCAGCTTCCCACGGCCTGCTGACCTCAGGGACACAGGCTGGGGAAGCTGACACCTGGCTCACCCAGCAAGGAGGCGGCCTGGTGTGAGTAGAAAGCCTACTCCAGGTTCTGGGCCACCTGAAGACCCAGACTCCAGGAGTCCTGTGTGAGCACAGGCTTCTTTCTCCATTGACCTTCCCCACCTAGGTCACAAGGACACTAATGATCACCTATGTCCCCACGGACATCCAGGACCCAGAGATCATCATTAAGCATTTTCAGTAAGTGGGTCGGGTGGGCTGAGGCGTGGATTGCCTCCTCCTGGTAACCCTGCCTGGGTCCTCATGTGGGTAGTGACGCACAGGATGGTGGAGTGGGGCTGTGGCTCACCCTAGATTCAGCTCCGGATCAACCTTTCAGAATGGGGGAGGCCCTGGTTGGGGCCAGAGCAGGGTTTCTGAAGTCAGGGGATTTCTGCATGGCATGGGTGTGATGGGGGATGCCTTTCCCTTGTACCTCCAACTGTGGAGCCCAGGGAGCTGCCAGACGCAGTTATCTAGAGCGGGTCATCTTGAGGCAATTTTTGTGACCTGAGCTCCTAGCCACAGGAGCCAGTTATCTCTCCATGAGCAGCAATTTCCAGCTCTGCTCCCTGGCCCTGTTCTGTGTCACCTGGGGAAGATGTGGCAACTCTCAGATTAACAGGGATCAACCCTGACATCCAGCCTTAGGAGCAAGGGGTGGATTCTACCATCCAAGCACCAGGAACCATGGCTATAGCTGAGCCCCCTAGCCCTGTAGGCTGTAGCTCTGGGTAGGGGGTGGGGGGTGGGGAAGGGGGAGGTCCCCAGCCCTACGGAATGGCTCAACCTCCATGTTTGTGGCTTCAGTGAGGCCTATCCAGGGTGCGTAGTGACCAGAGTCCACTTCTGCTACGACGTCAGGACCCTGATTGACTTGGACGATCAGAGGTGAGGCTGTAGCGGGACCTGTCTGAATCTGGGGTGGGGAGAGAAGGAGAGGTTGTGGCTCTGCTGGCACCCTGACCACAGGATCCTTCTCCCGTTGCCCATTGGCTGACAGGCGCCATGCAATGCGGGGCCGGCTCTATTATACTGCCAAGGCCAAGAAGAAGGGGAAGGTGATGATCAAGGTCCATCCCTGCTCCCGGCTGTGCTTCTGCAAGTGCTGGGTTTGCTTTAAAGAGGTAACTGGCAAGGGCATCGGGGGACACAGCGGAGGGGCTAGGGCACCAGGTCTCCAGGCTTTGTCCAGGGCTCTGGGCAGGGCCCCTTGCCCGCACCCTGGGGCCACAGGCCTCATTCAGGTCTGCTCTGTGCTGCGGCACCTGGCTCCCGCTTTCCTTTCCACCCGTCCTATCTCGCTGTTGAGAGGAGTCTTCCTTGGGGCCCCCTCCGGAGCGATCCAGGGACGCTTGTTCTTGGCCCCTCCTGGGCTTGGATGGGAGGACCAGTGAGGACACAGCAGGCTGCTATAGGCTCCCAGGCCTCAGGCTTTCAGAGAGCTAGGACAGGAATATTTGAAAGCAGTGGATTCAGTCTTATCGCCCAACCACCGTGGCTAGAAGGAGGTCTTGGCAGGACTGAACTCCAGCGAGTCCAGAAAAAGAATCATCCCCTTTCCTGAAAATGCTACAGACACATTCTGTCACTCCTCTGGAGGCTACTTGGAGTCCAAAAGCACCCCCTTACCCCCAGCGATGCCTCGCTTTCGCTAGATCTAAGAGCAGGGAGCTAATCTCAGAGTCATAGCCTCTTCCTCTTCTAGAGCTGGGATCTTGGAGCCCACCTGGGGTCTTGAGCTTTTTGCCAGGCTTCCAAGGGAGCCGGGGATGGAACCAAGCCCTCGGGCCTGCCGCCTGAGTGGAGAGAGGCCTCACATCCAGGCGTGAGGCCTGGAACTCTGGCTGCTCCAGCTCTGAGGGCCACATCTCACCCCAGGTAGACGCAGAGCAGTATTATAGTGAGCTGGAGGAGCAGCTGACTGATGAGTTCAACGCTGAGCTCAACCGCGTTCGGCTGAAGCGTCTGGACCTGATCTTTGTCACCTTCCAGGACTCCAGGATGACAAAGCAGTGAGTGCCAGGGCCAGCTGCTTGCTGTGCCCAGCCCAGCCCTGACAGTGGGCCTCTGCTTCTCTGAAACCATCCTCTTTCACCCCCATTCCAGCCAAGGGGAGGAGGAGAGAGAGCCTCCCTCCGGTTTGCCATATTCTGCCCTCCCCTCGACCCCTCCATGCTCCTCATGGGCATGGAGCCGCCATCTTGCTTTCTAGAGCATGGCCACATCCGTCTTCCCCCAGCTGCCAGGCTCAGCTTGTCTCCAGAGATGCCCAGGCCCTGGGCTCTTCACTCCCATATGTTCTTGCTTCAGCACAGAAGTGGTCAGAGTAGCCGTTGACCTCTTGGTTCCTCTTCCAGGCCTTGACAAGAATGGCACCCAGTTCTCCCTCATTGCACATCACCCCTCCCCTCACCATGAGTGACAGAGTCAGGGTAGAGAAGCCCTGCTTGCCATTTCTCCTCTCCTGCTGCAAACCTCCCCTGATTCATAGCCCTACTGCCTCCTCTCTCCTCCCCGCCAGCCTCTGGCAGCCCCACCTTGATAGGGAGTGGATGAGGGCCACTCTGGAATGTTCTGGAAGGAATCTTAGGACTGGGTCAAATAGATGGGAGCCTCAGAATCAGTCTTTTGAGGATTATGGGGCCCTCCTCTCGCCGAGGGAGCCTGATCACTCACAACATTTGTCCTCACCCCCCGCAACCCTACCAAGGAACAGCGGCAGAGGCTAGAGTTTAGTCGCAAAAAATTGTGTACAATTTTGCAAGTCATTTACACCCTCTAATTTCTTACCTATCAAATTTGATTACTTATATCTTCCCTGTCCTCCTCCCAGAGGGTTAAGAAGGGATATGTGTTCTAGTTAGTGTATGTGTTATAGAAAACAATACATCTACATAAGACAATAACTTGCTGAGAACACTCTCTGCAGAGAGGATCTAAGGTTTAATTACAGCAGATGTGTGAATTAGAAAACCAAAGATGAGGCTCCGGTGCCAGCACCCGCCCCTCTTTGGTTGTGTCTTCAGTAATCTGTGCAATTAAGACGATGTTAATCACCAATTAGCACAGCGTCATGCACTGTGTAGAACTCAATAGTCGGTAGCTACGGATACTAAGATGGGGCTGAAATGAATACCTCTCCTGTCAACCTCACAGAAAGAGCGCGTCTTTGTGCTGTCACTACTGTTAAGGGGAAAAGACGTGAACTGAGAACCGTGTGGCCCCCTTTTTTCCTGGACAGTCCCTCCCTCTAACGCCCCTTTCGTTCAGCGACTAGGCCTTGGGGACTGCCCACTTACAAGGTCGAGAGAGACATATCCAAGTCTCCGAGACTTCCCAGGAAGTGGATGAGTCTCTACCTGTGGGATGACCACAGCGGCCCCGGGCCCCTGGCATGAGCCCTCCCCCCGCCGCGGGCCATCGTCCTCACCCCCGGACCTCTGTCTGCTCCCGCATCTCCGCAGCATCCTGGAGGATTACAAGTTCATCCAGTGCGGTGTGTCGGCCCAACAGTCCTCGGTGACCACCGTCGTCAAATCCGACCGCTGGAGGGTTGTCCTTGCCCCACACCCCAAAGACATTATTTGGTAAGCCCTCTCTGTCCCTCCCCTCTCCTTTGAGCTCCTCTGGGACTGAAGAAGGCCGTAGGACGGGGAAGGGAGTCAGGGCCTGTCCTCCTGCTTCACTGCCCACACACGGCCCCCCACTGGGCTGTTTCTCTCGTGGGCATCACAGCCTCCTCCCACGCCCAAGCCCACCCCACCACAAGCATGGAAGGCACCAGTCTTTGGGGAAAGAGTTTTTTCCTGCAGAAAGAATTCGGATCGTTTTTTTGGCTCGCTTTGCAAGTGGTGTGGCTGAGGGGAAGGCCCAGGGCTGTCTCATGCAGGTGTGGGTGGGCCCACGGGCTTGAATTAGACCAGGGCAGCCTGGTCCACAGCTGGCACGCAGCAAGCAGCACGGGCTGTGTCTGAGGGCTGAGACCCGGGGTCCTAAGTGCGTCTCCCTCCTCCGTCCTGCCCAGGAAACACCTGTCTGTCCGCCGCTTCCATTGGTGGGCCCGCTTCATCGCAATCAACACCTTCCTCTTCCTCCTCTTCTTCTTCCTCACCACGCCTGCCATCATCATCAACACCATCGACATGTACAACGTCACCCGCCCCATCGAGAAGCTGAAGGTGCCTCCTCTGCCCAGGCCAGGCGCGGGGGCCCCAGGGAGATGAAGGAAGAACTCAGGCGAGGAGGGGGTGGGAGGCCCACTGGGACATGACTCCGATGCCCGCACACTTGTGGCCGTGGCAGCGGTGTAAATGGTGGCACAGCGCTTCCTGTGCTCTAAAGGGCATGAATGTGGGTCGTTGCCCATCTTAGGGACCGGGGCTGAAGAGTGGGGGAGCCCCAGGCAAGTTCTGGGATGAGTTTGGGGGGTGGGCTTGGAGGGCTGCTTTACATTGGGCCAAGCTAGAGGTACAAAAGGGGCAGCAGAAGATGTGGCGAGCGTGACAGCTCTGTTCTCCCCACGTTCCCTAGAGCTGGGCTCCCTGCTCTGAAGACAGGGTTGAGAGCGGGGCAGGCAGAGGTAAGTTCCAAGGCAGCCCTTCTAGAGGAGAAGGCCCTCCAGCTCTGTCTCCACTTCCCGCACTTCCAGACACACCCACACCTGGCTGGGCGTGTGCGCGGCTCACAGGAGTCATCCCTGGAGGGAAGGGCTGCTTCATATGGACAGAGGTGTTCCGAGGAACTGGACTGGCTCGTTTCCAAGTTCTATAGCCTCAAGGCTGTCGTAGTGATCCCAGAAGGCCCCTCCTTTCCTGTTATCCCTGTGCCTGTTCCGGCAAAACACACGCACCCACGCGTGCACCAAGCACTTCTGCTGCCGCTGCCTAACCTTTGCCTCCTTGGTCAGCTTCTCAATAGGCCCCAGGCAAGGGCACCACAGCTCTCCCTGGGAAGTCTTGCTCCATACCCTCCCCCTCTTCGCCACTTCTCACACAACATCACAACAAAAGCAGCGTCTCCGGGGGCTTCCCTGGTGGTGCAGTGGTTGAGAGTCCGCCTGCCGATGCAGGGGACACGGCTTCGTGCCCCGGTCTGGGAAGATCCCACATGCCGCGGAGCGGCTGGGCCCGCGAGCCATGGCCGCTGAGCCTGCGTGTCCGGAGCCTGTGTTCCACAACAGGAGAGGCCACAGCAGTGAGAGGCCCACGTACCGTAAAAAAAAAAAAGCAGTGTCTCCTCCCTGAGGTCTGAGACATGAGTGACAGCAGCTGGCTGTGGCCTTAGGGCCAAGTCACTAGGGGCAGCCTAGGGCACCCCTCCCGTGACCTCAGCGTCGAAGGCCTGCACTCCTTGGGGATGTCACTTGACCTTGGGGTGTCAGCCTCCGGCCGCCCCAGCCAGGCAGACCCCTGACCAGGAAGGTGGGTCAGAAAGGCCAGGCGCACTGTGCAGCCTCGGGGACACCAGGCCTGCTCTGGGACTGAGCTGGAGAAGAGGCCAGGGACGTGGGCGAAGGCGAGGGAAGCCTGCAAGGAGAATGGAGCTTCTTGCACTGACGTCTCTCTGCCCTCCTCCGCTCCACCCCTACAGAGCCCCATCGTGACCCAGTTCTTCCCCTCCCTGTTGCTCTGGGCCTTTACGGTGATATTGCCTCTGATCGTCTACCTGTCCGCCTTCCTTGAAGCCCACTGGACCAGGTGAGCTGGGGCCCCCCTCCTAGCCCTGCTCTCGGCACCTGCTCCTTCCTCTGCCCCCCCAAACCCCACCAGCTTAGGACTCTGGCTTCCTGTCTGGCCTCAGGAGTGGAATAGATATGGGGTGGCTTTGATGCCTGAAACCATCCCAAAACACTAACGATATTTTTTTTCTTTGGAAAGAGGGGACGGGTTTGCCTCTGGGCCTCTGGGCTCAGGGATGCTGAGATAGGGCCACCATACCAGGCATGTGGGGTCAAAACCCAGCCCTCCTCGGGCTGCTCCCTCAGCCTCCAGCCACACGCTGAGGGTCTGGAGCTGCGGGCAGAGATAGGCAGTGCCAGGAATTCCAGGCAGAGGGCAGAGGATGAGAGTGAGAGAGCAGGACTTGTTTGGAAAATGTCAGAAGAGCTGCTATGGCCATAGCAGAGGAGCCCCTGCACTCAATCTGACTGCAGACCCACGTAGCCTACACAGTGCCCACATCTTAAACAATTAAGAGCTATTTCCTATTTATTAGCACTAATAGTTCTATGGCAGGAGCTAATTAGTTAGAAAGGATTTACCGTATACTGGGGCAGGTGGACCTGCTTTGGCCTGAAGGCTGCGTGGGTCTCAAAAGTTATTTCCTGCACCAAAAGTTTCTATCATCCTATCAGGCAGTAAGCCAGGAGGTTTATCCTAACAGAAATCCTTACTGGTCTTTCCTCTGGCCAAGAACAGGGCTCATGTTGCTTATTGAAACTCTGCAAGAATTCTGAGTATCATTAGTAATGTCCCCTGAACAGAGATGTCAGGTATATGGTATGTGTGTGCCTTCCCTTCCTTTTCTTATGCCCAAGGCAGACATCACTAGTTGATCATGCTATTCTTTCCTGCTGCTCCCAGCCACAGCACAGCTCACAGTGCTCCGTGGAGATGGCACTGGTATGCACTGTGAAACCATTTTCTAGGCCAGGTAGCCGTCTCTCTCTCTCTTCATTCTGTAGTAAGGCGTTTGGTTCTTATCATGTCTCTCTTTGTTTCCTTCTAGATCAGCTCAGAATCTGATCATAGTGCACAAGTGCTACATCTTTCTGGTGTTTATGGTGGTCATTCTGCCCTCTATGGGACTGACCAGGTACCTCACCTCCAATTCTCTCTCCTCTGTCAGCCAGGCTCACCCTAGAGTTGGAACCTCCTCCTTCAGACACTGTAGGCCCACCTCTGGTTGCTGCAAATCCATTCCTCAAATGACAGTCCAGTGCCTGTCCTGAGCTTAGCATGAGTCAGGTATCATGTGAACTCTAGGCTGTCAGCCATGAACTCTGACCTCAAAGAGCTTATCCTCCAGCTGGGGAAACAAGCTGTACCTATCAGCTAACTGACAGCCCAAGGTGGGAAGAATGTGCAGTAGAAATTCAGAAGAGGGAGAGAACACTATGGGAGCAATGGCTGGCAAAGGTTTGCTAGAGGGGAGGCCTTGAGCTGAAAGGCCAAAGGGTTAGGGCCCAGCATTAAGAAGAGAGGCAGTGTGGATTGGCCGGCTAGAATATTAAGATGCAGGAGTCTTTGGGGATTGGGCAAGGGAGGTTGAAAGGAAGGAGGCCAGCCCAAGAGGAACTGAGCCCCAGGCCTTAGGTCATAGATTCATTAACTGAAGGGTCTGCTTTATTCTTGTTATTTTTCTTGTGCTTGATTCTTTTTTCTAGTTTGGATGTCTTTTTCCGCTGGCTCTTTGACATCTACTATCTGGAACAGGCATCCATCAGGTTCCAGTGAGTACTAGAGTGCATGTTTCAGGTGTACTCCCAATGTGCACTGGGGCTTCACACCAGGTGGATATGTGTATCCTTTATTTGCTCATACAGGTAGAGATGAATGCGTGTTAACACTCTCATTAGGCAGCCTCTTAACATTTCCTGTGCCATGGACCCCTTTGGGGGTAAAGCCCAGGGACTCCTTCTCTGAATGAAGTTTTTGAACTAATTGTAGATTCGAGGGAAATTGCCCCCAAAAATGTCCTATGTACCTTTTTTTTTTTTTTTGTGCGGTACGCGGGCCTCTCACTGCCGCGGCCTCTCCCATTGTGGAGCACAGGCTCCGGACGCACAGGCTCAGCGGCCATGGCTCACGGGCCCAGCTGCTCTGCGGCACGTGGGATCTTCCTGGACCGGGGCACGAACCCGTGTCCCCTGCATCGGCAGGCGGACTCTCAACCACTGCGCCACCAGGGAAGCCCCCTATGTACCCTTTATCCAGTTTCCCCCAATGGTAACATCTTGCATAACTATAGTACAATATCACAACCAGGAAATTGATGTTGAAACAATCCACAGAGCTTGTTCAGATTTTGCCAGTTTTACATGTACTCTTAGTAGATTTCTTTAAACGTACAAAATACCTGGGTTATAACAAAAACCAATTATGCTGAAACATAGTTATCAAAATATTTTAAAATTCAAATTTGTAATGCAATCTCTATTAACACGTTTAATAATAGGCTGATGCATTCTAAAGGTAGGCAAGCAAAAGTAACATTTTATTGTTTTAAAGGCATCGGTGTGAAAGGTGATGTTACTTACCTAGAAGAAGAATATTAAGTTGGGCAGGGGAGTGGATTTTTGACAAGGCAACATGCATGTCGTGTTAGATATCCAGCCACTTTCTTTTTTGTTTTGTTTTGGTTTTAGGGTTCCAAATGTTGAAAGTCCCAATTTTCAAAGGTATATTATTGCAAATGACATGCAAGCTTTCATAGCTTGCTTTATAGGGCAAGGACCAGAATTCTCCAAGCTTTCTACAATTAAACTATAACTGTAATAAGTTGATTTTTTCCCAAGATGAGTGAGTTCATCTTTGGCTAGGTCATTATCTTCAATACAGTTTGTATATGAGAAAGAAAAGAATTGTGAGTTCATGACTCAACTCTGATGCCCTCAAGAAAGAATAGTGTTTGAAGGAGTTATGAAATATGTCCAGGGGCTTACAGATTTCTCTTTTCAAGGAAGGTGACAGAATTGTGTAGATGGAGACACTGGAAAGCAACAGAGATGCCTGGGTCACCAGCGTGAGAACAGGCAGTGTGCCCATCCATTCAGGTGGCTGAATGACTACTAGTTGAAGTCGGCCAGCTAGCTATGTGAAACACGCATGTGCAGACAGAAAAGTCTCAATCATGTGAATTTAGCATGTCTAATTTAGTGGCCTGACTAATAACTAGCATCATTTTGAAATGATGATGAGCACAAATGGTATCGTAAGAGCTCAGCAATAAGTACAACACGATATGAAAACACCTCATTTCAACTGGTGACAGACTCATGGCTATGGCTGACATCGCTGTGATTTGTTGCCCCTGCTCTTAATGGAAGGAGGTGCTAAATCGGAGAAAGTAAAGATGTAATCTTTTCCCTATTCAAGGTCACAGACCCGCAAAATTCTACTTATGGACTCTCCAGGGTCTGTGGATCCAAGTCAAGTAGTCCTTCTTTATTATATTTTTTGAATTTTATTTTAATTTATTTTTTATACAGCAGGTTCTTATTAGTTATCTATTTTATACATATTAGTGTATACATGTCAATCCCAATCTCCCAATTCATCATACCACCACCACCCGCCCCCCGCTTCCCCCCCTTGGTGTCTATACGTTTGTTCTCTACATCTGTGTCTCTATTTCTGCCTTGCAAACCGGTTCACCTGTACCATTTTTCTAGATTCCACATATATGTGTTAATATACGATTTTTTTTCTCTCTCTGACTTACTTCACTCTGTATGACAGTCTCTAGGTCCATCCACGTCACTACAGATGACCCAATTTCGTTCCTTTTCATGGCTGAGTAATGTTCCTTTGTATACATGTACCACATCTTCTTTATCCACTCGTCAAACAGCCCTTCTTTAGAGCAAGCCAGTGCATGTATCTCCTAACCCATCCACAAATGCCATAGACCACCCCCAGCCCTGCTCAGAAGGGCCCTTGTTAACTTAAACTGGTCAGAGAACACATGTATACAGTCAGCCCTCCATATCCACAGCTTCGGATTTGACCTACTGCAGATCAAAAATATTCAGGAAAAGAATTCCAGAAAGTTCCCAAAAGCAAAACTTGAATTTGCTGTGTGCAGGCAGCTACTTGCACAGCATGTACGTTGTATCTACAGCTGTTTACATTGTGTTAGGTATTATAGGCGATCTGGAGATGATTTAGAGTATACAGGAGGATGTATACAGGAGGATGTGCCTAGGTTATATGCAAATATTATGCCAGTTCATGTAAGGGACTTGAGCATCCCTGGATTTGGTATCCACAGGGGCTCCTAGAACCAATCCCTCACAGATACCGAGGGATGACTGTATTGGAAAGCTATTCTCCCCATCTCTACCTCCACCCCATCCCCACTTCCTCAATTCGTTTCCTCTCTCTCCTCCTTCCTCCCAATACCTCTGCCCTTTCCCTCTTCCCCGGCTTCTGTGGCTGTCTTCCACCCAGGTGTGTGTTCCTGCCAGACAATGGCGCCTTCTTTGTCAACTACGTGATCACGTCAGCTTTGATTGGCACAGGCATGGAGCTGTTGCGCCTGGGGTCCCTCTTTCTGTACACCACCCGCCTCTTCTTCTCCAGGTCGGAGCCGGAGAGAGTCCACATCAGAATGGTGAGGGCCAGGCCCTTCCCTGAGCACGGCCCTCAGAGTTTCCCTTGGGCGGGTGTCAGGAAGGGGGCCTGTTAGAAGCACGGAGGGACCGGAGGTGGGAGGCATGGTGAGGTGGGGCGAGGTGCTTCTCGGACACCAGGGTTGGAAGGGAGGTTGCCATCCCAGACAAGGAGCACAGAAGCAGCAAGCCAAGTGGACCAGGCCACCTGAGGAGGACCCCTGCCTTCTGCCCCAGAACCAGGCCATGGACTTCCAGTATGGGCGCGAGTACGCGTGGACGTTGAACGTCTTCAGCGTGGTGATGGCGTACAGCATCACCTGCCCCATCATTGTTCCTTTCGGTGAGTCATCCCTGAAGCTCCCTGGGGACTGCACACCCTCGGACTGGGAGCCCCACAGCATCCAGCTCCCTCCTAGATCAGGAGGGACAGCCTGTCGGAAGGGTGGGAGGGGCCAGGTCAGAGCCAAGCCAGTCAGGGGTTGGGTGGCTGTTTACATAGGATGTTTGTTGACAGAATAGGTTCTAGGGGCTCAAGGGAAGCTGCTGGTCCCAGAGGTCAGCACCATGGAGCTCCCACAGCCTGTTCTTGGCCCTTGCCACTCTGACAGACCTGAATCTAGCATCTCAGGCCTGGGTGGGGAGCCTTGGGACGGCCGCTGAGCGTGCGTCCATCTCCCGGCCCCCAGGGCTACTCTACCTGTGCATGAAGCATGTCACGGACCGCTATAACATGTACTACTCCTATGCACCCACTAAACTCAACGAGCAGATCCACATGGCTGCCGTCCACCAGGCCGTCTTCGCACCGCTCCTGGGTCTGCTCTGGATGCTCTTCTTCTCCGTCCTGCGGTTAGGTAGGTACCCAGCCCGCCCCAGCATCCCGCCTCTGCCCGTTCCCCACGGCTCCGTCACCCCTCAGCAACTCTGGAGGAGCAGAAAAAGCCTGGGAAGAGCAAGGTGTTACTCGTGGAACAGGGCAAAGCCCAGTGCCTTCTCTAGGCCTTGAGGGCTCGTGTTAGAGTCCCGGCAGACCTTGGAAGCTAAGCGGAGGACCAGCGTGGTCCAAATCATATACATTTTGGTTTACAACTTTCAGGGCAAAACCAAAGCAAAACAAACAAACAAAAAATTAAAAAAAAATTCCTATTCCTTCATTCTAACTCAAGACTGGCAGGAAATAAAATATTAGCTAACAGGCTCCATTCGCAAGACATTCCCTCTGGGATCCTAGAAGATGCCTGGCCTTATGTGTTGTCAAAAACCTAGAGGAGGATTCAGAGCCTGCCCTAGCAGCCAGCTTGGCTACACAGAGCTGCTGACCCCGCCCAGCTGAGCTCAGAGACACCCTCACAGAGAGAGGCCCCACAGGCCACATACTGGAACCCCCCGGCTCTCTCCCCTCAGAGCCACCCATGCCCCAGGCAGCAGTCTCTGCCAGCCCCTTCCCAGTCTCAGAAAAGGCTCATGCTGACCTCCCCGTCCTCCTTCTTCCCCCCCACCCGCCACACTTGCCTTCCCTCAAGACACTTGACCTTAACCTTCTCAGTGGTGTGGAGAAGGGAAAGTCCATGTTTTTTCACTGCCTGTCACAGGGGTGTCAGGCAACGTTCAGCTCACAGTTATTTATATGCATTGTCCATTTGTTGTCGCCCCTGAAGCCTTTCCTGCCCCAGCAGACTTCATTTTTTTAATAATGCTTTTTTTCTAAGTATAAAGAACTGCATGTTTATTATCAAAAATAGAGAAAATTGAAAGATCAAAATTTGAATGACCTACCAGCTCCCCTACAGCCTCATGTCTATCGCTCCCACACCTCACTCTGTGCATACGTTTTGGGGGACAGGGCAAAGTGGAGGGAGTTTATTGGTTTACTCTTACTTTACAAAATTGTGATATCCACTTCATACTATTCAGACTTGTATCCTGAGTTTCTTCACTGAACATTATGTTCTGAGCAATTTCTTGCATTATCAAAATACTGTTGAGTACATGCCTTTTAACGTCTGCGTGAAATTCTGTCACTTTTAGTCAGTTCTCCATGGTTGGGATATTGACGTTGTTTATCATTTTTTGCTTTTATAAAAACACAACAATAAACATCGTTATGCAATAACTTCTGACTGTAAAGACTGATTTTCAATATTCATGTAGTTAGAAAACTGCTACGATAAAAAAGTTACCAAACATCCCCAAACAAAAATTCTGAATTGCTTTTCCATGCCATTAGCACGTGTAACCGAGCACACTCACTCCAAAAGGGCTTACAAGGGCCAGACAGAGAAAGACAAGTATCGTATGATACCGCTTATATGTGGAATCTCAAAAAAAAAAATGATAACAAATGAACTTATCTACAAAACAGAAACAGACTCACAGACTTACAGAATGTGCTTACAGTTACCAGGGCAGTCGGGGAGGGATAGATTGGGAGCTTGGAATTGACATGTACACACTGCTATATTTAAAACAGATAACCAGCAAGGACCTACTGTATAGCACAGGGAACTCTGCTCAACACTCTGTAATAACCTAAATGGGAAAAGAACTTGAAACAAGAATAGTTACGTGTATATGTATATCTGAGTCACTTTGCTGTACACCTGAAACTAACACAGCATTGTTAATCAACTATACTCCAGTATAAAATTAAAAAAAATTTTTTTTAAAAAGGGCTTACAAGAAAAGGTGTTGGTCTGAGACTGACTGTATTTTGGGGCAGTGGCATAAATGAGTGACTCAGAGATACTTCCCAGGGACCGTGAGATGGAAGGTAACTGACATCAAGGAGGACGTTTAATGGGCACCTAAGTGGATATTTAAGTCAATTAATTTTTTTCATGGAATCCACTGGATGCCAAATCCTAAACTGGCCAAATAGCACACAGGGTTGATGTCCCTGTGTCGGGCTCATTGATCAAGTTGTTAAGGGGAGAACTGGGCAGGGACATCTCTGCCCCAGGCTCCAAACTCCTACAGGGGTGCTGAGCTGGGCCCCAGGCATCTGTCAGCCCGGGCGGCATCTCAGCCGGCACCCCTGCCCACAGCTCTGGGCCTCAAGCGCCACGCCCATGCCTTTCCTTCTCCTTGCAGGGCCGCTACACGCCATCACCTTCTTTTCCCTCTCCACCCTTATCGTTTCCATGATACTGGCCTGCGTTGGCACTTTTCTGGGGAAGATTCGGAAAGCGTCTGACTATGAGGTGAGTCGCCAGCCTGGCTTTCCTCCGCAGATTCTCCCGGCCCCAGGGCACACAGCTCCTGGACGCCCACCCGAAGCACCATGATGACGAGAGGCTCTTGCCTTCCTCTCTGATGACGGGATGTGCAGACTCAGTGCCGGGTGTACGTGCTGCATGTATCCTTGCACTGGCCCCGGAATCACACCTCCCGGGGCGGGGAAATCCAGAAGACAGCTGTCCTCTCCTCTTCTCCCCTCTTTCATCTCCTCCGAACCACAGGCTGCTGGCCCATCCCTCCTACGATGTGAGCCTAATCAGCCACTGAGCCGCGAGGGCCATTCCAAGGCACGGAGGCTTGAGAGAGAGGATGGAGTGGAGTAAAAGAGGGGGTGGTAAAGGAGGATAACCTGGGGAAAGGGGTCAGTCATCTCACTTTTAAGAATCTCAGGATATTGAACTTGTCTGGAAGGGAGGCCTGGCTCCCTGGGCCCCATGACTCTTTCGGCTCTTTGCCAGTGGGGCCGAGCCAATTATTAGAGAAGGGATCTAATCCATGCCAACAGGACTGTGTGCTCTAGATCAGCACTTCCTAAAGTGGAGTGACCGTAGAGGTGTACGGGAATGATTTCCAGTGGACTAAAACATTTTATATTTTTCATGGTCACACATTTATTTTTCTACTTAACCTTGTTTATGGCAACTGACACAGGATTTCTGTTCATAAGAGTGAATTGTTTCCTTTTCAAATGAATTTAAATAAGAAAGAAAGTTGATTTAAAGTACTAGCATCCTGCTGAGTCAGAGGAGGGAGCCTCTGAGAAGAGGATCTTCTTGCTTCCAGTGGTTCCGTATCTGTGGCCCTGGGCACAGGTGCCTGCTGCCCTTTCTACCTGGACCCTCCTCCATCCCCTGGCCCGAGTCCACGCTAGTGAAGGACCAGAGCAAACGACGCCTCTGGCTCTGTCTTCCCAATACAACGGGATCTGGGATCTGGTTACTCAAGGGTCCATTCTAGAGACAGAAGGTGACGGGGGACCTAACCCCTCATCTCATTACAGAGATAGAGGGGAAATTCTGGCAGGAGATAAGGTATTATGGAAGTCAAGGCTTCTCCTAGAGTCAGAGCAGTCTCATCTTTGAACCGCAGCCTCCACTCTGCTTACTCTCTCCCACTGTGGTCCTTGCGAATGGAATATTTCAGAAGGGTCTCCCCAGCTTCCCAGTCTATTCTCTGTCCCCCTGGGCTTCAGCCCTGCCGGCTGGACTGCGGGTCTGGGAAAATAGAAGATGAGTTGAGTTTAAGGGGAGCAGCAGGCCCCTTAAGCCTGAGTTTAAGGTCCAGGCTTCTCTGGACGTGGGGAGGGTGGGGGCACCCCGTGACCCTCCTTGTCTCTTCCGCCGCTGCAGCCCGAGGAGGAGATGGAGACCGTGTTTGACCTGGAGCCCAGCAGCACCTCCTCCACGCCAACTTCCCTTGTGAGTCAGTGCCTTCGCCCTGGGACGTGTCGGGAGGCGGGTGCTTGCAGGGGTGGGCTACTCCAGCAGCATTGCGGGGATACCAGCAGTTAGTGGCCACCCTGGGTACTGGGGAGGAGCCGGGCGTCCCTGGACCCCCTCCTCTGAGGCAGCAGCCCGTGGCCCTGGCTGAAGAGCCTTCAGAAAGATAGAAGATCTGGGATTTACTCCAGGACATTCTCTAGAAGGAGCTCAGAGAGGACAAGAACAGTCAGGGCGAACCCAGCCACAGGGAGCTCAGTCGTGTAGACGCAGGGCCCTGCTGGGGCTCAGCCTCAGGACCGAAGGCTGCCTCCAAGGGCACAGGGGCCAGGCAGAGTGGCGCAGATAGAGCCGCAGCGAGCTACTGGAAGTCTGCACCGCATGGTAAGGCAGGGGCCGTGCCGGATGAGTGAGTCCGTCAGCTTGTGAAGAGACGAGGCCGGACTCAGAGTGCGGGGGGTCCAGCAGGCTGGGCGTTGGCTCCCACACTGTGGCTCAGCCTGGAGGGGCGTGAGCGCTCGCCCGCAGCCCGGCCACAAGTGTGGCTGCAGGGCCACTGATGCATGCACTGAGCAGGGTACCGGGTCAGCCCGTGCCCCGATGCCAGGGTGCCTTGGGGAGCACTGAAGAAGGGTACCAGCCAGCCTGGGCACTCAGGGAAGGCTTCCCGGAGGAGGGAACATCTAATCCGACCCCAGGAATGGGAGAGTAGGGGTTACCAGGTGGAAGAGTGTGTGGGGGAAGAGCATTCAAGGAAGAGGATCAGCCTGTGCAAAGACCCCGAAGAGAGAATCTGGAGCACCGGGGAACCTAAGACAGTTTGGGGCCTGGAGCAAATGCAGAGTGGGCGGCAGGGACTGGTGCGAGGGGAGGCCCTTTAGTCATGGCAGCGTTGGGTGAAAGCTCACAGACGCAACAGTGGGCGGATGTGCCCACACCAGGTGCCTAGAACTACAGGTCTGCCTCACTCTGAAACGAACCCTACAGATAGGGCCCGATGAGCTCTGGGAGGTGGCGGGCAAGAAGGAGCTCCAGTACCAGAGAGACAACAAAGGTTTCGAAGCAGGAAAGTCTCTCTTCACATAGCATCTCCCCTGGGGCCCTTCCAAGATGACCCCTCTGGAATATTGTAATCAATAGGTTATTGAAACCTTACAAACTAGACGCGTCACCATTCTCGCTCTTGATCTTTATGATAAACCTGCACAGTAGGGGGTTTTTATCCTCATTTTACAGATGGGGAAACTGAGACTCACAAAGGTGAATTAATTTAGACCCTAGAGTACTACTATGCAAGGAAGTGGCAGAACAAGGTTTGAACCAGGTCTGTCAGACTCTAGACTTCGAGCTTTAAAAAAAAAAATTCCTGGAATTGATTTTTTTTAATCTTTCATTATTATAACAGAGGGGTCTAAGCGTTGTAGATAATTATGGGGAAAAAACAGAGAAGCAAAAATAAGAAAATTAAAAGTCCATGTTTCTACCACCTAGAGGTGACCACTGATACCTTAATGTATATTTTTTCAGATATATAGATATTTTTTAATGACATAATACTGTACACTATTTAATAACCTGCATTTTAAGTTAACAATCTCTGTCTTTCTACCTATATGCATTTTTACCTCTTCAAATACCCAGTCCATATTCAACTTGCCCTACGTGTTCCAGAAATATCTTTTACAGCTTGTCCAGACCAAGATCCGACCCAGGCTCTGTGCGAGATTAACCCGGCACCTGTGCATGTCCCTTTTAATTTAGCACCGTCTCTGTTTTATGACTTGTTGGAGAGACCAAGCCAGGAGTCCTGCAGAATGTCCCAACTTCTGGCTTTTTCTGGCTGTTTCTTCATGGTATCTTACAGGAGGTTACACTATCTCCTGTATTTCCTGAAAACTAGAAGTTAGATCCCCAGGCTTGATAGATTCAAGTTCGACACTAGGGCCTAGATAGAACACATTACAGGCAGTGCTGTGAGTCACACCAGGCAATATATAATATCCCATTTATTGCCATTAATGATGCTGAAGTGACTCCCTGATTCAGGGATGACTGCTGGCTTCTTCCATTGTTCAGTTACCATTTTTCCCCCAGGACCCAAAAGTCATCTGTGGGGTTTATTTTGGCCTTATGAAAATACCTCAGTTCTTCTGTAGAAAGAGTGTTCTCTCATCAACTAGGGCAGTTTAGTTTCACTGAGATAAATTCCCACAGGAAAGGTTTAATTCTACCCAATAATTACCTATTTTCAAAATAAGGAGTTGGTTTAAAAGTCCCTTCAAAGGGTGACGAACAGCTCTGACCCTAGTACTTCTTGTATTTTTCTAGTCTGCTGCCATCCCAGGCATTCCTGGGCCCATGCCTGGATTTCACAGGTCACATGACCGAGACCTCAGCTAGCAGCCTCAGTTTCAAATCCTGGCCAACCAATGACACAGCCCGAGGGAGCTGGCTGCACCTCGGAAGCTGTGTTAGAAAATGTGCTAGCTCAGGAATGGGGGGGTCCCTCCAGACCCCAGTGTAAGGGAGACTCATGTCATCACGCCCTGGGTTCAGCCTGACCTGGAACCAAGAATGAATGGCACGTGTGCTGAACGAAGAGCAGCCTAGGAGACTCACACTAACCAGCCCAGGGAGCACACAGATGCTCGATAAACAGTCGAGAGCAGCTGGGCAGGCGGGATGGCCAGGACTTGGGCTGCAGGGGAAGAAGGAAGGAGCCACGGCTTAGAGGGGGCAGAGGCTCTGCGTGTAAAGCGTGAGGGGGAAGCGTGTGCCCAGGGCCTTGCCCCAGATGTGACCTCACCCCATCTCCCCTCTCTGTCCCGAGCAGCTGTATGTGGCCACCGTGCTGCAAGAGCCGGAGATGAACCTGACCCCAGCCTCCTCCCCAGCCCGGCACACCTACGGCACCATGAACGGACAGCCGGAAGAGGGAGAAGAGGAGAGTGGTGTGAGGGGCTTTGCAAGGGAGCTGGACTCGGCCCAGTTCCAGGAAGGGCTGGAACTGGAGGGCCAGAGCCAGTACCACTGACCAGGACCCAAGGTCTCCACCTGGCGACGCCAGCCGGGAGTGGCGGCCAGGGGAGAGCCCAGCAGGGGGAGGCAAGGAGGGTGGCCTGGACCGCCGCCCCACTACCTCCTGCAGACTTTGGGAAGGCCCCAACGGAGCCCCGGCTATCTGTCGGCCACGTGGAGGCCCCGACCTGCTGACCAGCTAGAACGGGAGATGACGGGCAGTGTCGAGGGACCTCAGGATGGGATGGAGGATACCGGCGAGCACCATGTCTTGGGAGCAGGGGCTGGAGCCCTGAGCACAGAGACTGAAGGCTGGGGGACTTCCTGGGGTCATGGTGGAGAAGGTTCGCATCAGGGAAGAGGCAGGAGGAAGCCCACTGAAGACTCTCTGGGGTCGTCGCCACCCTTCCACCAGCTGCCCTGCCCAAGGAGCTTCTGCTGCTGTCCTACCCTAACCCTCACTCCCAGCCCACCCCTCTCCTGCAGTCTGAGGAAGCAAAGGTATGTATGCTGGCCTCGCCAGCAAGACACAGACGGCCACCTCCTCCGGGTTTCCCTGCACGGGGATCTGTAAAGAGAAAGTCTCTGCACCGGCCCGCAGGAAGGGGCAGCTGAGACCATAGACTTAAAGGAGGCGACTGAGCCCCTTCCTATTCCTCTGCCCCTCATCAGATGTCCCCAGGAGCAGCAGGGTAGAGAGCCTTCTTTCTATTCCTGCAGGAGTAGCTGGGATGTGGTCACGCAGGGCTCATTAAACGGGACCTGTGTGCATTTTGATGAAGGCTGCTGGTTACTGTAAGGTGGGCGGGGCAGAGGCAGAATTCATGGAAGGAGGTCTTCTCCCAAAACGCTGAGTGATGAGAAACCCGATATACCTCCCCAAGCCCCGGGGCCTAATGGGAGGACCCCCAAGGTCGAGGATGTGGCCACTGAGAGCTGCTCTGGCCGCATACCCATCTGAGTGCCTAGGCCCCCAGGGTGACCAAGGTGGGGGGTAGCTGAGGGTGAGAAGCCCTTGCTGCAAACTGAAGGCACTGGCCTCTCCCCGGCCTCCGAGCAGGACCCTTCCTCTCCTCTCGGGGCCGCCCTGCGCTCTGCACTGAAGAGCAGTCCAGTGGCCTCCAGTGTGGTCCTGGCTCAGACACTGCGGATGCCCTGCGGGGGACTGAGGGGCGCAGGCGGGAGCTGCGTCCTCCATGGACAGGCAGAGTAAGGCTGCCCTCCCGGGGCGGCCCCCACCCGAGGCCTGGAGGGGCCGAATCCTGAGTGGGAACAACGCTGGTGCCACCACTGCTGCAGGCCGGGGGTGTGCAGGCCTCTGGGGACAGGCCCCCATCAGGACCACCAGGCAGCCAGCTGGGGAGACACGAAGAAGGGCTGGCCAGGGTCTGGGTGCACCAGAATGAACCAAGTCAAATGGGATCTGCACGCTCTAGAGCTCTCCTGAGCGCCCTCCTCCAAAGGTCTGGGCCCCTGCAGCCAACCTACTGAAGGTGGGCGTCCAGGTTCACCTCACCTGGGTGTTTCCCACCGGCTGCCGGGCACACACGTGCTCCTGAGCTCAGATCACCTGAGCCTCACTTCTGCTCCACCCGTGCCCACATCCTGGCTCCAGAAGCTCCAAGCTTGACCCCAGAGGAGAAATGGCACTTGAGGGGCAAATACTGCTCTCCCCCGAGAGCTCAGCCCAGACCTTGGCGTGAGGGATCTTTCCAGAGAGCCTGGCTCATCTGGGAGGAGGCTGTCTCTCCTCGTCCAGGTAGGAATAAGGAGGAAATACCCAGCTGGTCCCTCGTAAACCCAGGCCCCGCAGGGCTATCTCCCCCAAGCATTTCACCAGCCAACAGGGGGAAGTGGTCCTTTCCAGGACAGTCCAGCACGGAGCCCTGCCCACCATGGGGAGGTGGCAGCCCCAGGCCCTGCCCCGCGCCCAGGTGTGTGGTGAGGGCCGTCCTGCCCGAAGCTGGCCTGAGGGCTCTCCTTCACTTGGCACTACTTGCTGGCATCCACCCCGGCCTCCGCAGCCCCTGCGGGACTGTTCCTGCTGCTTGTCTCGCCTCCCACTGCCCTGCTGGCAGCCTGTGGAAGCTACATATGGAAAGGTCCCAGCAGATGCTACGGCAGCATGGCTGGGGCTTCCCCCTCTGAATCTGGGTCAAGTGCAGTCTGGTTCTGAGAGAAGATGTTGAGGATGTTGGGAAAGTTGCTGCGTCTACTGGCTTCTCTACTCTTCCCGGAGACCCTGGCCACAGCCGCTCGACCTCCCGTGGTCACTGCTGCGGGTGTGGGCGTACTTTGGCTCCTTACACGCCACATCCAGGCCCTCCTCAAGCATCTCCCCTCCAACCTGCTCTCTCGGCCCACACGCTTCTCACCCACCAGCCTCCGCCTACCACCATCCACCCCATCCCACTGCCCACTTCCCAGCCGCCCCTGCCCCATCTGTTCCCCCAAGCCCCGCCTCTCAGACCTGATCCTCTCTGGAGGGAGCTGCCTCGGGGGACCAGGTATTGCCTAGAGCCTTTGAGAAATGCCCCTTCCGGGGCCTAGGGCAGCTCCATGCTTGCCTGCCTCTTCCTCAGACACTTCTGGAAGCAAAGTGCCTATCAGCAGCATTGCATCCTCTGGGGACCCCGGTGGGGAGTGTGGACTTGCCTTGGCCATCACCACTAAAGCAATGTGTCAGAACGCCGAACCTTCTTGTTACTAACGCTATGACCGTGCCTTGAATAAACAAGTCCTCCCAACCTCTGCTGGCCTGTGCCTCTGCATCTGAACCAGCCCAGCGGGGCTTTCCCTCCATCCAGAAGGAGCCAGAGCTCCCTGAGGTGGCCAGGCTGGAGCACCACATCTTGCTTTGTGGCTTTGGCCCCTGGGGCCAGAGCTGCCACTCTGGGACCCTTGACCCCTGAGGCCTTCCCTGGCCCCTGTCCTCACAGGGGAAGGCCTGGCAAATGCTACCTCATCTGCTGGAGAAACAGGAAGTGAATCTGCCTCTTTCCACTGCAGATGCTCTGAGAGTCCCCTGAGCAGTAGGGGAGAACTTTCCGGTCCATGAGCTACCCAGGAAGCCACCAGGGCAGCCTTTCCTGGGCAGCAGAAGCCCTGGGGTGAGTGCTGGGCCCTGAGAGTGGGCCCCCGGCCAGATGAGCAGCCGGACTGGACAAGATGAAGACTTCAGGTGGGAGCCCCCAGGGAGCAGCAGGCTGGGCCCAGGTCTGCATCAGCCTCCACCAGCAGCAGGAGGGCAGGGGGAGGTCAGGGAGAGGCTGGGCCTTAGGCGGGTATGCGGGGCTGTCACAGCAGGCCTGCACAGGAGAAGAAAACCCTCTAGCGAAGGGTAGTTATGTCTGCTGTCACACCTGTGGCAAGGTGGGTCAATTCCCTGCCCTGGGGGACATGTGTACTGGCCCTTCCTCTAGCTAGCTCGCTGACCCTAGGCTGGTCACCTCATCCTGAAAGCAGGAGGACGGGAGGCTGACCACTCTGTCTCATTACTGAATAGAGCAGATTCAGCCGCAGGGACAGAGGGAACAGGGTGTGGAGGGGGCTTCCTCCCCCGCCGCTCCCCGTGAGGACAGAGGCCACTCTCGGGGCACAGTGCCCAAAGGATGCTCCAGAGCCCCCCTCGCTGGACCTTCTCCTCAAGCTTCCACAGTCCACCCATGGGCAAGGGCTCAAAGCCCCCCATGGTGTGAACCCGGGCAGGGGGCCAGGGCCCATCCCCTTGACCCCTCTCCCCTCAAAGCAATTATCTTCCAAGTCGAGTCCGATGAAATCCACAAGAGATGCTTCAGTGGAGAAAGGAGTAGGAAGACCACCCTGGCCGGGTGGGAGGGGCTAGGTCCTGCCGCCTGGGAATGGGGATCAGGGGGTTAAGGAGGCGGGGAGTGGGCAGATGGCCAAGAGGGAGGCCTGGTGCCAGGGAGGTCCAGGATGCCAGCTCCATGGGGCTCTGCCCAAGAGGGCATTGGTGCACCAGACTGAGTGCCAGGTTGGGCTCTGTGGGACTGGGGAGGAAGCAGAAGGGCCCTGGGCTCCAGGAGGCTGTGCCTGGAGGCCAAGCTTGGGGCAGCTCCCCGCCACCCTCCCAAAGCCGTCACTCGGGAAGCTCCATGCTGGCGGCTCTGGGTTTCTGAGCTCGCTCTGTGAAGGGCCCGGGGAAGCGTGGCGGAGCCTGGCTTATGGGAAGACAGTTCACAGGTGTTTTCAGCAGAGGCTGTTTTTTGAACATCTGAGGTCCCACCTTGACAACCAGCAGCCCAGCATCTCTGAAGCTTCAAGTGCTGGGTCTCTAGCCCAGCTGCAAATTGGAGTATCCTGGGAGATTTTAAACATCCAGGCCCCCTCCATGAACGAGCCAGAATTACTGGGGAGGGGCCCGGACATTTCTATTTTACGAAATCCCCCCGGTGACTCTGAGTGAGCAAGGCTCTCGTGGAGCCGGAAGGAACCATCCCAGCCTCACGGCCCTGGAACCAGGCAAGCTGCTCTCAGCACCTCACACTGCCTCTCACCTCGGGGAGGGGGTGGCCCTGTGGCTTGTGCGTAGTTACAAATCCATAGGCTGGGAAACCTCTCCTCCCTTCACTCTGCCTCCAGAGAGCTCAGAAGGCAGGTGCCCGGTAGGTAAAGATTAGGCCCAAACAAGCATTTTCCTTTGGGCTTACAAGCAGTTAATGCCTAGCGTGGGCACAACTTCTGTTGTAATCATCTTACTTTGCAGTAAGTACTACTGTTGGGCCAGAGAGACACACACACCAGCTTCAGGGGTCATTTCTGCCTGTCTGATCACCTGCAGCAATGGTTTGAAGCCTCTCCTCTTCTATCCAAACATAGAGCCCAAAGTGGCTTTCTTGACAGCCTTCCCATGTGGAATGCAATAGATTATAAGTACAGTAAACAAATTTACATAGTGGGAGGTCAGGATAGGTGCTTTGAAGAAAAAATAAAGCAGGATGGGGGGCTTTCTAGAGATGGGGAGGATGGGGGACGAGCTCTGTGGGAACGTGACATGAGACACGTGAGCCAGTGGAGGCTGCATGAAGCGAGTGGGGACTAAATGCGGGCCCGAGGATCAGCGAGGCGGCCAGAGTGGCCAGAGCAGAGTGAGCGAGGGGAAGAGAGGAAGGAGGCGAGGTCTGAGGGGACCATGGGGCTCTACGGACTAAGCTACTGGAGGGTTCTGAGCAGGGGAGAGACATGATCTCCTTACTAGCCACTGGGTGGGGACAAGACGGAAGCAGAAAGCCCCGCTGGGGACTCGAGGCATCCAGGGGGCGACAGTACAGTGAAAGAGGAGACAGGTAGTGAAATTCGGAATAGGGCCTGGGATCCCTGGATAGATTTGATGGGGTCTGAGAGAAAGCAAGGAGGTAAGGATGACTCCCAGTTCTTCAGCCTAAACAACTGGGTAAGCTGGTTTACCAAAGCAGAGAACGCTGGGAAGGAGCAGGTCTGGGAAAAAGACCAAGTGTTCCGTTTTGGTTGTGTTATACGTCTGAGATGGTGCCTTGTGTGGATGTTGGGCAGGTGGCTGGATACAGAGTCTGGAGTAAGGGCGAGCTGGGCTGGAGGAGTAAACTCCAGAGTCATCAGCGTCCGGATGGTGTTGAAAGCATGGGACTGGCTGTGACCTCTACAGGCGCAAGCGTAGGTCGGAGAGAGATGGGAAGGAGGATCTGCAAGGGAGACTGAAAAGGAGTGGCAGAGGGGAAGGAGGGAAACCAGGAAAGCCTGGTGTCCCGGAAGCCAAGGGAAGAAAGGGACTCAGAGGGGAAGGTGGACCCCAGCTCTAATCACACTTGACAACAAATACGGGGCAGAGAGGAATGAGCTCAAAGACGCCACCAAGAAGCGTCATCCGAGTCAAATGCTGGACCTGCCACTGAACAAATAAGCAGGTTTCACCCGCAGATCAATAGCCTGGGGGAGGGGGCGAGAGGCTGGTAGAGAACGGGAGGTTTAGGAGGCGCAACCAGATACAGTGTGTGGCCCCTGACTGCATCTTGAATTGAACAAACCAGCTGCAGAAAGACACCTTTTAGATACAAGGGAAATTTGAATATGAACTGGGTGTTCTTAGGTGATGTTGAGGAGATAACTGTTCATCTTGGTAGGTATGTTGACAGCATGAGTTAAAAGGTTAAAAAAAAAAATCAGCTAGAAATTCATGTGGAAGACTTTACGAGCGAAAGAACATGATGTCTGGGATTAGCTTTGAAACTGTCCAGCAAAAGAAAAGGGCAGGGGGAGGTCTTGAGTTGCTTCACTGCTGATTCTGGGTGAAGGGTACATGGAGATCTGTTAGGCTCTGATTTTTGTGTATGTTAACATGTCTCCATGCTAAAAAGTTTAAAGATAGAAGAAGGGGTGATCAACACTTCCAGGTGCTGCTGAGCAGAAGAGGAAGATGAACACTGAGACGCGGCCCCTGAGTTTGGCAGGATAGAGATTGTTGGTGACCTTGACGGTAAGATTGGTGGGTGGATGAAAGCCTGGTTGAAATGGGTTACCATCCTCGTACAGGAGTGAGGACGTGAGAACGGCGAGGAAAGACAACTCTTCTGAAGAGTTTTGCTATCAAAGGAAGTAAAGAAATAGGGTGGTAGCTGGAGAGGGAAGGGGGCGGTGAGGGAGGGGAGGTTCTTTGTGTAGGACGCGAGATATGGGCTGATGGAATGAGGAGAAGACAGAGAGGATTCCAGGGTTGAGACCTGGAATGGAGGAGGAAGGAACTACCCGCCCCGCACACACACACACACACACACACTCTCTCTCTCTCTCTCTCTCTCTCTCTCTCACACACACACACACACACACACATGCACAAGTGGAAGAGAGGCCTTCAAGAGAGGTGAAAGCACCCATGCTTAGGATGGCTTAAGACACATCAGAGGAGGCTGTTTGGCCTCTCCAGAGGCAGGTCACCCCAGTCTCCTGGGTAGCTGTCAAACATTCAGGAGCCTTAGGCCAGGCTTGGCCACCAGATCCTGAGCTGCTGTTTGGTCACACAGCAGAGGAGGCCTCCTCACTGGAGCCTGTGTGGGCACAAGAAAAAGATACTTTTGATGCCCCAGTGGGAAAAGCACTCCTACACGCTCCAGACCCAACATCTGCAGTCCCACAGCCTGGCAGGCCTGGCCCCCTGAGCTCAACAAAAATGAGGCCCCAGCTGGAGCTAGGGAGGCTCTGCTGGTGCCAGTGGCATTGGTCTGGGCTGAGAAAACCGGACCTCGGGGTGTGGGTAGCTGGCCTGCGTGCAGTCCCTCCAGCCATTCACAGCCCAGCTCCAGGACCCCACCCCTAGGAGGCCAGGAGCACGTGGCGGGTTAAGCCCAAGCCTGCTCGGAGGAAGCCCGCTCTTAAAGTCACTCGCTCCCCGTGCCCCTGGCTATGTCTCTACCGTTGTCTGCATGCTCCTCATAACCACACACACACACACACACACTCACACTCACACCTGCTCTTCAACTCCAATGTGCACCCCGGGTTATCACGTTTAGTCTCCTTAAAAAGACCTCCCTGGGATTGGCACCTACCCCTGCCAAGAGGATCTAGAAACTTTCCTCGGAAACACTGCAAGATTTGGTGCTGCTGTCCTGGCACCTAATCCATTCGATCCGGGCCTCACCTTGTCCACCAGCAGGTGGGCTCCCAGACCCCTGAGCAGTGAACTGCTTCAGACTCTGGACTAGTGTGGGTATATGCTGTAACAAACCAACCCCCAAATGCACAATGGCACAAACACAGTAGAAGTTTATGTCTCTTTCCTGTAAAATTCAAAATCGGTGAGCCCCTGCTGTACATGCTGGAGAAGTACTTGGACCCTGCAAGGCACTTCCGATTAGTGGGTGCTCTCCTCCAAGCAGTGATTCAGGGACCCAGCTCCTTCCACCTGTGACTCTGCCACGTTCAATGCGTGGCCCTCAAGGTCACTGTGAGGTCTGCATCAAGCTGGTGGAAGGATGACAGAGCACAGAGGGGCATGCAGGAGTTTGTGGGGACCAGGTCTGGAAGTGGTATACATGTCCACACATTCCATTGGCCAGAACTCAGTCACATGTCCCACCTAAATGCAAGGGACGCTGGGAAATGTAGTCCAGTTGTGTACCCTGCCAGTCAGTTTCCACCACAGACCCCTGGCTCCATCTCCGCCACTGGCTTCCCCACACCTTTTCCTACTTTTCCACCCACTCTGGCCTTGGCCCTGCTGAACCCATCCTCCCACCCTGTCCTACATCCACCGCCCTGCATCTTCATCTGGCCACAAGCCAACACCAAAGAAAACACCAGTCCCAGCGGGTCAGAGGGGCACACAAAATAGGTTTATTTCTCATAAGTTTATACAACCACAGCACACAGCAGAAGATAAAAGTGGAGACAGCTCGGGGTGAGGGCAGGGGGCCTCTCCTGAAGCTTTGTCTTCTATCCATCCAGCTAACTACAGGCACACAGCAGGTATTAAATACGGGGGTCTGTGGACCTGCCATCGGTATGGGCAGAGGCAGAAAGGCTGGTGAGGGAAATGAGACTCAGCGTCTGACGGGGTCCGGGGTGACCAAGAGCCGCTGGGAGTCAGGTCTCTTGGGAATGAAGCCCTCCTCCTTCCTTGCCCTTCCGCAGCCTCGCCCCACCCTGGCTGGCTGGCTGGTTCTTACAGAGCGATAATAGGGGCACTCCCACCAGACACTACAAAAGAAAAACTGCTCTGTCGGGTGGCACGTGAGTGGGCAGATAAGCCCCATCACGGAGCCAGGTCTCCCTTCCTCAGCAGCTCTCCTGGCCCCCTGCTCCTGCTGCCCGTGATTCCACCATGAAGGCTGAAGCTAACCCACCTCTTTCCTTGTGAAAAGCAAACACCCCTGGGAGAGAAAAGCACTGAAGGCAGGCAAGCTGGGAAGCTGCCCGAAGCTCAGCCGCGCCACTGCCCCGCTTGGCCCAGGCTCGCCTGGGAAGGGAGGGTGACAGAAAAGCCCATTCCCTCAAACCCCATACCCTCTGGGTCCGTGCCACCTCTGCTACCAAAACGCTGCTCCTCCTCCTGGAAGAAGAGGGGAGGCTGCAGAGGAAAGAAGGCCGGCAGGGAGGAAGCTACTGGAAATTCAAGGAAATCCGAAGGCCCCTTTCTAAGGAAAAGCCACCCTGTCTGCAGTTGGGGGTGAGGGAGACTGAGACGCAGCCCTGCTCCATCACCTCGCTGGCATGGCCCAGGGGACAAGGACCATGATGCAGGGAGGCCTAAGGGAGCCTGGGCTACAATGGACACAGACCAACAGGTAGACACAGACCGTCAGGGGCCACCAGGTGGAGGCCGCTGGGCAGGGCTGCCTCTTAATCGCCATCCCAGCCACGACTCATGGCCTGTACCACGGCTCCGTAGAGCTGGCTCCAGGCAGCCCGCATGGCTGGTGTGAAGGCAGGGCCCAGGCACTTCTCCAGCATGTAGAGCAGGGACTCACCCACCGTCTGCAGAGGCAAGGGGCACCTGTCATTCCCAAAGGCAGGAAGGCGTGCCCTCATTCCACAGGTGAGAAAACTGAGGCTTGGGGCTGGTAAGGACTCCTGGGCTTTTCTTCTCTCCTGCACGGGGGTCCATGCTTCCTGAGCAGGATTCTGCCCCAATCCTTGTGTACACCTTAAAGGTGAGGCTTTAAAGTGAACAAAGCATTTCACTCCACTCCCAGCCTCACAACCACCCCGTGAGTGGAGCCGAGGCATTGCCTGGGACCTCCAGCTCAGACCAAGCAAAGTCATTGCCTCCAGGCCTGTTTCCTCCTCTGCAAGACAGCAGTCATGATGTTAAGAGTCCAGGCTCTGCAACCTGAGATGAACCTGAGTTCACTTTCTGACTCTACTACTTATGAGCTGTGTGACCTTGAGCAAGTTAGGTAACCTCTCTGAGCCTCAGATGCTTCATCAGTAAAACAGGGAATGTAACACTTCCAACTCATCAGATTGTTGGGATGATTAAATGAGATCATCTATGAAAAGCTCTTAGCACAGCATCTACACACAGTAAGTCTTCAGCAATAATAACGTTCTCATGTTTTATTAGTAATTATAAAATACAGTTTATTTATTCCACAAATATTTACTGAATATGCACTAAATACCAGATACTGTGCTAGTGCTGGGGATGGAGAAAATGACAAGACAAACTCAGTGCCTTCCTCAAGGTGCGTACGTCTGGCAAGGTGACTGTGTGGTAGGCTGTCAGGTCAGGGTCCCCAGTGAGCCACACCTCAAGGATTCACACCCTTGACACTGGGCTCATCCATGTGACTGGCTTTGGCAAATGGGACATTAGCATGCAGAGGCTGGCTTGTCCTCTTGAAACACTCCCTCTCGAAACTCAGGTGCCACTCTGTAAAGAATCTCAGCTAGACTATTGAGCAATAAGAGGCCACACGGAGAGAGATCCCAAAGGATGACAGGCCATCTTGGACATTCCAGCCCCAACTGAGCTCCCAGCTGAATGCAGTGCACGCGTGGCTCCAGCCACAGCACGTGGAACAGAAGAACCGCTCAACTGAGCCCAGAGAAATCAGAAATCATTGTTTTAAGCCAGGCTGTTCTGGGATGGTTTCATACACAGCAATATAAAACTGAGCAGACCAGCTAATCCCAAAGGCTCCTTCACCTCCTATGGTTCTAAGGGAAGCCATACCAGAGAAGAAAAATTGGAGGCTCAGAGAGGTCAAGGCAGTGCCAGGGTCACACAGCAAGTACATAACAGTGCATGCCCCAGCCCTGGTCATCTGAGGGTATAGGAGTGGGAAGGATGAACAGGTGGATAGGAGAGGCCTGGGAGAGAGTGGTGGCCTCAGGCCAGGAGCTTTGGAGAGAGAAAGAGCCCCTTTACCCACCGAGAAGGAGCTGAGCTTCACACCCACTGCCCGGTGCTTCCTGCCCAGGCTGGCAAGGTACTCCTCCAGCGAGGACAGGTCCTCCACATTGGTCACCGCAGCATCGATCACGAGCATCACCTGCCAAGGCCAAGGTGGTGGTGAAAGAGAGACCAGAGCAACTCCCCATCCCCGCTCACAACCATAATCCAGAACCTGGGGGTCCCAACCAGAAGGGAGAGAGGACCCTCAGTTTTCCAGTATCAGAGACGAAAGGCAGCCTGCGTCTGCATACAGTAGGCGCTCAACATATGGTGGCCAAACTACTAATGTTACACCATGGAGGAAGCTGCTCTCTTCTGAGGGGCTCAAAGCCCTAAACACACCTGCTGGACAGTGTTGTCCTCCTGGGACGAGGGGACACGGAGGCCCTGTGAGAGTCACCAGCCTCTAAGAAAACCCCAGCTTGGTTTTCACAGGCAGATGGCCCCTGATGGATCAGTGCCAACACCACCTACAGGAGCCAGGGGACAAGGCCAAGGGCAAATGGCAGAGCTGGGAGCAGCTGGCTGAGAACAGGGTGGGGGAGGAGGCTGACTCGGGTGCCCCAAACTCTGCCCAGCTCAGCGCAAAGGGAAAGGGTCAGATGCCTCTGACAGGAGGGAGCAGAAGGAGGGGCTAAGACCAAGGCTGGGGCAGGAAAGGAAGTAACTCTCCCGACCTCCTCCTTCTCTCCCAGGAAGGTGCTCTGCCCACCCCTCACCTTCCTGATGTGGTCCAGGAACTCAGGGGAAGAGAGGCAGTCCTCCGGGCTGGAGAACTGGCGGCAGTTGTACTGGAAGAGGGGCAGCAGGTCCGGCTCCAGGTCAAACAGCCTGTGGGTGGAGGCCCGGTGTCAGCCCTGGGGCGTTGCCCCTGCAGGCTCCGTGGGCCCTGGCTGCCCAGCAGCAGGAGAGGGTGGGCAGAGCCTTGGCTGTGAACTATAGCACACCCTCCAACCTAGCACGCACCCCCTGGCCAGTTTTGCCGGTGCCCCTCTCGCACCTCTTCCACAACCTGGAAGTGGCATCCTGGAAAAAACAATGTGTCCCCAGGCCTCTCATACGACCTGGCATAGGGTAGCCCTCCATAAACCATTGAGGGGTGTGGACTGGGACAGGAAGGGGTTCTCAAACAGGAAGCCTGGAGTCCACGGTGGAGAAAAGAAAACCTCTCTCTCTCCCTATCTCCCCCTCTCTCCCCACCCACCCCCCTCTCTGCCTCTATCCCTCTCCCTCCCTCCCATTCTTGGGTCAGAACCTCCCAATGTCATCATGCCCAAGGGGGCTTGGGCCAGCAATGATAATTATAGTATATAGAACCCCTTACACTTACTGAGAATTGAGTACTTTACACGTGGTTAACGCATGTATTCCTCACAATGCTAAGCAGTGGGTGTAACTGTTATCCCAAGTTTATAGAGGAGGAAACAGAAGCCCAGAGAGGTTAAGTAACTTGCCTAAGGTCACACAGCTTAGGAGTAGCAGAGCCACAGAGGATGCCTGAGAAAACAGTGGGTTTGGGGAAAGCTGGGAGGCATAAGCAGAAGCTCTCAGCCACATCTGGGAAAGCCACTGGGGTTTTGTGTAACTGCAAATTTATTCCCTTTTTGTTTGCGGGAGGTTTTGCGAAAGCCTCTTCAGAAGCTCTGGGCTGGCTTAGGGAGCCAAGGCTCCTGAAAAACCATGGTGAGGTAGTATTGCCTCTTTGGTGACGGCAGAGGGATTACCTAGACACCCTCAAGCTGCAGTTGAAGACTGGCCTCCCCTTCCCCTTTGGGGTCTGCACACCCCCTTACCCCTCTCTCTAGTGGTGAGAATTGGGCATCTGTCATCCCTTCCTTGGCAGTCCTCTGGTCCTAGCCCAGTCCTTTCCTCAGAAAGGTTTATTCTCCTGTTGCTGGAAGCTCACACTTCTGGGGCCCAGACCCTGTGCTCTGCAGGCCAGGCGCCCAGTACACCCTCCCCACACAAGCTCTCGGGACACCCCAGTCTACCCGTATGGGCAGCAGTGGGCACCCCTGCAGTCACCACCCAAGAAAAGACCACTCAGGAGGCACACAGCCAGGGAGGGGGTGCAGCGTGGGGACCGGAGGCCGCTGGCCCAAGTATAAGGAGGTCCGCCGGAGCGGACCCTGGCCGGCACCCAGAGAGCCCCATAGAGAGCGGGGCGCGCTGGCTCGCAAGACGGGCCACCGCCGCGGGAAGAGCAGCAGGGGCCGCGCCGCCCGTCGCCCTGCGCCGCTCCTCTGGCGCACATCTGGAGGCGCCCCAGCGCCCCAGCAGCGGGCTAGTTTCCCTCCTCCGGCGCCAGCTCAGCCGCCTCGAACCCATTCCTGGCGAGGCACCCCAGTACCCGCACCCCGGGGGCGCTCGAGCCGCCCTCACCTGGCGAACAGGACGGTGCCATGCTCCAGCGGGCTGCGGCTCACCTCCCGCCAGCTCTGCCGGATCAGCTCGGGTTCCGGGCGCTCCATGCTCGCCCGGGGACGCGGGGCGCTAGGCTGGGACCCTCGGGGCGCGGGCACCGTCACCGCACGTGCCGCGCCATCTCCGCGGCGACGCGGCCAGTCGGCACCTCCTACGGCCCCCGCGCCTCGGCCGGGCGGGGTCCTGCAACCGCTCCTTCCCCGCCCAGGTGGAGGAGCCCCCGCCGGGCCTGCCCCGCTGGCGCTTCCGGGGACCCCGCTCCGGCCGCTGCGCCCTGCACCCCACGGCTCCGAGAGCGCCCCGCCCCCCGCCGCCCGGGCTGGGGCGCTTTAAAGCAACCGCGCCCCCGCCCTCCTCTCGTCCGTAAGGACGCGCATCTCTGGGCAACTGGCTCCGGCCGGGGATGACCCGGTGGCCTGGGAAACGGCCGGGCTTCAGAGCTTTGCAGAAATCGTCGAGCCTCTTGGGACCTCAGTTTCTCATCTGGTGACACTCCCTAGTTAGGGCAAGGAGTTCAATTTGATCGTCTTAGGTAAGCTCTGCGAGAGCCACCTCTCCAAGAGCCCCACTCAAACACTGCCTGGAGGCATCTGATCCCTTGGTACAGGGTCCCCTTCCTTATGCCCCAAGGTGGGCCAGAGAATGCCAGGGCGCCTACGTGTGTGACAAGGCAGAAGCCAGGGAACGGGGGGAGGAGGTCTGCCCCAGTTCTGGGTATGACTGAGGCACCCTGTGACATTTGGGGACCACCAGGACTCTCAGCTTTAGGGACAGGGCCAAGACCACAGCCATTTCCAGCCAGGCCTGGGTTTTCTTGAGAAATCTGTCAGCTGCCATCTTTAGAAATTTTGTCAGCTCAGGTTCTAAACCCAGCTCTGCTTGGCCAGGGTGGGGTCTTGGGTGCAGCAGCTGTGAGCATTCCACTACTTGGACATTAAGGGAGTTACGCTAGAACATTCTACTATTCAGCGATTTTAAATAGACTTTTGTAAATGTTTAGATAGAAGTACTATTTCTTTCTTTAATTTGAAGTTCAGGATACAGAATCTCATGTTTGCCATTCAGGGTGTGAAGTCAATTAGACCTAAACCTCTTTCTTTTTTTAAAAATATAAATTTATTTATTTATTTTGGCTGCATTGGGTTTTCGTTGCTGCACACGTGCTTTCTGTAGTCGCGGCAAGCAGGGCCTACTCTTCGTTGCGGTGCACGGGCTTCTCACAACAGTGGCTTCTCTTGTTGCAGAGCATGGGATTTAGGCGTGCAGGCTTCAGTAGTTGTGGCACGTGTGCTCAGTAGTTGTGGCTCGTGGGCTCTAGAGCGCAGGCTCAGTAGTTGTGGCGCACGGGCTTAGTTGCTCCACGGCATGTGGGATCTTCTCGGACCAGGGCTCGAACGCGTGTCCCCTGCACTGGCAGGCAGATTCTTAACCACTGCGCCACCAGGGAAGTCCTAAACCTTTCTCTTTCAAGCATGAAAGTTCCTCGGGCCCCAGCCCAGTTCCAGTGGCCCAGGTTTTGAAGAGCAAGACCCTCATTTACCTTTCATTATGTCAAGTTTCTGAGCCTGTCTCCTCTCAGTCTGCCCACCTCTCTTCTTCCGTTTCCTAAGCTGTATGGAGGGGTTGGGAGAGAGGTCTCCAGGAGCCTCTCAGCCCGCCTCCTTCGGTCCCTGGGTACAAGGTGAGTGTGCTGGGGCCTTGGGTCACGAACAGGCTGCGGCTCCGTGCGCAACCCTGTGCTAGGCCTGAAGTGTTGAATCTTTGCCTTCTAGAACTTCTCCTGCTGGTCCCCCGTCAGGACTGAGGGCCTCAGCAGAACTCCTCTTTCTTGCTCCCAGCCGAGCCCGGTGACCATCCCGCTGCCCTCCCTCTTCCGGGGACTCGAGAGTTTAGAGCTATTAGGAATTTAGCTAATAATATAGGAATATTACCCTATTCCTCTCTTCCCCATCCCTCCCCGCATCTCGGGGGGCTCTGGGCTGGAGCAGGGGAGCAGAGCTGTAAGGCAGCCTGGCTTGTGTCCTAAGGAGTCCAGGAGATCCCCAAGTGAGAACACAAAGGGCCTGGGGGCTGAAGGGAGAAGGCCAGGGTCTCAGGGATTGGACTCCCAGGTTGGTGTCCCATGGCCCTGCAGCCAGGTCAGCAGGTCACAGGAGAAAACCACGTATATCTCTGGCGACCTTTACCTTTCAGTGCCCAGATGCCCAGTGCTCCAGGCCACCTGGCTTGTCTAAGGCTTCCCACGCCACCCAGTTTGCACTTCCTGCCAACAGTCTACACTCAGGACCCTCCCTGCCTGTTTTCTCCTTTGGGCAGGGTCTGGAGTCTGATAGGTTAATGAGTTGATGGCCTTAGCTAGTAAGTGGTGAAGCCAGCACTCACTCTGCCTTTCTAGAGCCAGGAGGTAGGAGGAGAGAGCTGAGTGCACTCTGGTCTCCACTCCCCTTAGTGAAAAGGCCCAAGAACCAGGCTGGGCCTAAGCAGTCAGCGTGGTGTTTTCCAGCCAGGAGACAGAGGGTCTGACTCCACATTTGAGGGGCTGGGGGAAGGTCACCGGAGCTCCCCTCCCTGGCATCTGGCCACAACTTGGGCAGGAGGTTCTAATCGAGGAGAGGGTTCAAGTGCTGTTCTAGAGCCAGTGCTGTCACTGAGGCCGACTTATCACCAACAGTAAAGGGTTAGCCTTTATTGGGCATCCATGTCCAGACACTGTGCAAGGGACTTTGCAAACTTTTTTCATTCTCATAATAACTCTGCGAAGTAGACCCTATCTATTATAGCCTGTTTTACTGCTGAGGAAACGGAGGCAATGAAGCTGAGTAACTGGCCCGAGGTCACGTAGCTAATCCGTGGTAGGGCCAGGATTTGACCTCTGGACTGACCCTGGCCCCTCCAGTGGGCCTCCGTGCTCCACTGCCTTCCTCACTCTAACGGACTGTGCCCAAGAGCTGTGCCCAAAGTTCAGACCAAGCCCGGATCACTGGGTCTGGGTCAAAGGTGTGTCAGAGCTGGCTCTCAGATGGCTTGTGACAGCCAACTGTGCTCACCTTTCCGGCTTCTCATTCAGGAACATCAGGCTGGTAGCCTGAAAGAGGCCATGGTGGAGTATATACACCATGAAAATTGGCATATACTACAAATCAGGGCTTTTTTTCTCCCAGCAAACCACTGGTCTGGGTGCACCAGGAAACACAGGGCCCTGGATGAGCTAGCAATGCTTTAGGCAGAAGGTACAAAGGAACGTGCTAATCTAAGCCTTTTCCGCAGGGGATCCAGGTTGTCCTGGGCAGGCGCTCCTAGTCCCAGGACCAGGCTGGAGAAGCAGAAAAAGCCCAACTCGGCACCTAGTCCTGGCTCTGCTATTTACTAACCAGGCAATTAACTGAATCTCTCCTGGGTGGAATGGGGACAAAAACGGCACGGACTTCACTGGGCCTTTATGAGGATTCAGTGTCACAGACGCAGCATGAGCTGGTAAGCTAAGCTGTGCGTCAAGCAGCATCTGGTCCTTCTCTAACCTTCCTGTCCGCGGCAGTTCCGTCTCCTGAGGATCTGCACGATCCCCTCTCCACCTCCAGCTACTCTCGGTCCTAAGAAGGAGGTTGGTCAGACAGCCCAGAAGATCCCCAGTTTCACAATGCAGTGGACTCCTCTCCTCCCTCAGCTTCTGTCTAAAACATGTCAGCTCTTACCTCCTTTGGACCCTTAACATGACTCCTGATAACAGGTGACCCCTGTCAAGACGGGGGCCTCTAGGACTTCCCTGGCGGTCCAGTGGCTAGGACTCCGTGCTTCCAATGCAGGGGGCACGGGTTTGATCCCTGGTCAGGGAACTAAGATCCCGCAGGCCGCATGGTGCGGCCAAAAACCAACCAACCAAACAAAAAAACCAAAATAAAACAAAACAAAAAAGATGGGGGCCGCTCTGTAAGCAGAATGGACATTGCTGCTACCATGCTGGGCCACTCAGCTGTCTCAGAAGTGGACAACCGTTACTCTCTCTCATTCCTTTCTATACTTGTGTGAGGAGGTTAAAAGAGAAAAAGGTCCAGCTTCCTACTTATTTTAGAATAAGTTTAAATAAATCACAATAACAACCAACATTACTCAAGTAACCTTATCCATGAGAGGGCCTAAATGTTCCCTGGTGTAATCAGGCTCGCCTGCCTAGCCCAGGGCCTCTGCTGGAATTAGAATGGCCTTAGACTCCAGACACAATGGAATGGTTCCTGCACTCAAAACATTCTTCTCTTCTTTCTGGGAGCCAGAGGGCAAGTCAGGTTCAATTAAGTACAACAAGAACAACATGGCGTTCAAAATAAGTGCTATTTATTACAAAAGTAAACGGCCTCTGATTATCTATGGAAAGTTTTTTTCAATATAAAATGTGGTTCAAGAAGTCGGCTGGAGGTTGGGCTAACAAACGTCTCCTTCCTCCGCCAGCAAGTCTGTGGGGCGTGTCACATTCTGCCTGCTCCTGGGGGCTGGAGCCCATATTCAGAGCACCACCACGACAGCCCCTCTCCTCAGCATCTTCCAACAACAGAACCTGAGTACCTGAAGCTGCATCAACCCATGCGGCCTTGTCCCCAGAGAAGTGTCTGCCAGTCTGGGCAAGGAAGAAGAGGAGGGAGTGGGCGGACAGTTCTTCTGCATCTTTGGAAAGCAGTGTAAGAGACAAAGGAAACTTTTGTCCCCAGTGTGGCCAAATTAGGAGGGAGGGATGGGCAGGAAGCCGGCTGAGCTTTCTCCTTCCTCACCCTCACTCAGAGTGGCTGCCTTCAGAGCACCTCCCTTCCAACAAGTTCCTATTAGGAAATAAGGCACAAGGGAACATCAGCCACCTTCCGGTTGTCATCGTGGGGCCGTTGTTCTTTGCTAAGAGCCAAGCACAGGTTCCTGAATTCCACCTCCAGGAGAGCCCACCAAGATGGCTGCCCCCACCCAGCTCAGAAGAAACGAAATTGGCCTGGGGGAGAGAAAGGGAGAAGCGGAGGAGGAGGGGAGAGCGGGAGGTTCTCCATCCCAGTTCTCCTTCCCTTCCAGAAATTCAATTAAGCAAGCAGCCCAGACTCAGCACCCGGCAGCGCTTCCTGCTGGGGGAAGTCAAAAGGGCTGCAGCCCTGGGAAAGGGAGGTCATCAGGCCCCAGATCTAATTAACGAACCTGCCTTGCTTTTGACATTGCTGCATTTCCTCTATTAACTTTAATGATGGTTGGTCTGAACGTCCGAGCATGGCCAGAAGCTTCCCTCCCCACCACCCAGTACGTAGCGCAGCCTGTCCTTGGGACCAATTTCCAGTCTCCGTGGCAACCGCCTAGCAAAGATGCTCTAAAGAGCTCTGACCCTGTCAGAGCTGGTGGGGGCTACAGAGGAGGGAAGATGGAGGGTGGCAGAGATGCATCATTAAACCTTGAAGCATGACAGTTCTCTGAGACAAAATAATATTTTGTCATGCACTGGGAGGACGGAGGACGGCTGAAGGACTGGCCTTGGGTTTGTTCAGTGCTAACCCAAGGGTTTTCTTTATCTCTTTCATATGGGGAGGAAGTAAAAGGAACAGCTCTGAGCTTCCTGCTTGGGCTTCAGAGTGGTAGAGAGGAGAAGCTCCAAGGCATTTCTAGGTGCTCTGGGTCTTTGGGGAAAAAGAGATTGGTGAGACAGTGACACAGAGTAAGGGAAATGAAATGAAGTGAAAGGGAGGGGGCTGTCAGCAGGGGAGGACTAGAGAAGTAAAACTGGGGAAAGCTTAGTGAGTGACAGGAACACCAGCCCGGAAAGGCCAAGGCAGCCCACACCCCGACGCCCTGCTGGGACCCCAGCCCAGCACCATACCCATCCCTGCGCTGCCACACATCCACCTCAGCTGCTAAGAGAGGGGCCCCAAAGGCTCCCTGCAATCAGGAGAATGCATCGGGCCCACCCTCACAGTCAGGCTGGACGCAGAGGGTAAGGGATGGGCAGCCAGAAATCACCTCTGGCTCACAGGGCCTGAGAACACACAGTAGCCAAGGACAGGGTGCCACCCCTCCCACCAACCTCGTGACGTGATGTTCTCAGACAGCGAGGAACCGAGGGCTGAGGAGGGCCAACAGGGCTGGTGAGTCCTCAGCTGCCTCGCTCTGGGGCCCAGTCCTCTGCGCACATCGCAGGCAGAAGTCCAGCCGCCTGCGGCCACGGAGGAGACTTCCCGGCAGCCACGTGGGGAAGCAGCTGGGAGGCGGGCCCTCCAGCTCAGGGGCCTCAGCTGTATTTGCTTATTTGTGGGAAGGAGGGCAGCACAGCCGTGATGATACCATCGTCTCTGCCCTTGGTGACATCCCAAGGTGGGGTCAGTGCTTTCAGTCTTCTTGGAGGTCTGAGAATTTTTGATGAATCTTACAAACCAAGTCCAGTGTGAAAAAACCCCCAGAGAATACTACTGTAGCCCTGGACGACTTCTTAGAGTTTATGACACTCAGCTGTCCACAGTCACGGTCTACCTTCCGCAGGTATACGGACACACGCACCCTCACACGCACACTCCCCCACACACTCACACCCACCCTCTTGCACACTCATCCCTCCTCATGCTGCAGACTTGGGGAAACGGGCCTGAGAGATGTGTCGCCTGTTGCTGAGCCAGCCCCAGCGGAGGAACGGCTGTGGTTAGAGCAGAGCCATGGCCCTCTCTAGTGGCTTACACTCCGGGTATGCTCCCAGGGCGTGGTCCTGGCAGGTGGCAGAATTCCGCGGGCTCCTCAGGCAGCTTCCTCCACAGCTGGGAGGGTCCAGGGACTGGCTCCACAGCTGGCTGTCCCCAGGAAGTTCCTGGACCCAGGCTGGAGTCCTTGCAGTGGCCTCAAAAGTCCCATGATTCCAGCCACCTTAGTCCTGCCATCGGACTTCGGGGGTCCTGGGCTAGCGGACCAACCATCCCATACGCCAGAGGATGGAAGAGGTAGAAGCTGAGGGAGAGAACCCAGGGGGAGGCAGTGGGCGCCCTGCCGCCTCAGTGGAGGCGAGGTGCCCTGCAGACCCATGAGATTCAGCTCCTCCTGCCGGGGCTCATCGGACCCTCTCTACCTACAAGACCCACCCCTTTTGGTCACCATGTCTGCATGAGTTTGCCACCTGGCCATACCAGAGGCTGTGAACTTGGAAGAGGCTGGCTTAATGCCAGTGAGGGAAAGGGCTCTTCCCAAGAGGTCCAGGAGACAGAGAAGTCCAGGGTCTGGTCATGGACTGTTTGGCCCAGACCTTTTGTTAAAATGTGGAAATGCTCCCGGGCCTCAGGCCCCCGATTCCCTGCTCAGGTTTTTATGTTGCCCCGCCGCCCCTAAAGGCCAGTGATTCTCAGCGCGGATCTGTGAGGCCTGCGAGGTGGGGAAGAGGGCGGCTTACCAAACGACACCCCCTCCTAGCCATTCTGAGCCGCACCACAGCCCGGGCGCCCCTCCACCACCCGCTCCCTCACCCCACTGAGAGCTGTTCTGGCTGGGAGCCACGTGACTAAAGAGGGGCGCCCTCCCACGTGAGCCGGAGTGGTCCATAAGCTGGGAGCCACTGGCAAGAGGAAAGAATGCAGAGAGGTAGCCCGTGCTTCGCCCGTCTGGCTGCACATTCGGGTCACGTGGGGAGCTTTAAAAACTGTGGCTGGACCACAGGATCCAAATTGGGCTCAACTGAATCAGAACCTCTGGAGATGGAGCCGGACACCAGTGTGCTTCAAAAGCATGCCAGGGGGTTCTAAAACGCACCTGGGACCGAGGCCTCAGTGCTGGGGGGCAGCAATGCAAGGTGCAGGGGGTGCTCACCTGTAGGCAATTCCCAGGAGCAGGCTCAGGATTCCCAGCGTGTGTACGTGCCCAGCCAGAGAAAAGGAGGCCAGGCTCCAGGCACAGAGCCGCAGAAGTGTGTCCCACAGAAGGCCTATGGAAGGAAGAGAAACCTCGCACCGGTCTGGCAGAGGATGCCTTCTGGGGAGGCAGCAGACAGAGCCCCCCAGGTCAGGGAAGCAGAGGGCTCCCCCCAGCACGGACGCTCCATGGTGGCCTCCTCCCCGGCCCCGCCCTCATTCCCCAGGCCCAGGAGGGCAGCACTGACCTGTCAGCATGCTGGAGAAGAGCATGGCGGGGAAGTAGTGGTGGAAGTAGAGGATCCGGCCCATCAGGAAGAACGGGAAGTAATGCATCATCCAGCCCAGGAGGAGCTGCCCGCCTCCTTGCAGCAGGACCTGGGACAGCCCTGGGCCCCAAGCAGCACAGCCCGGTCAGCCGACAGGGAGGGGGCAGAGAGCCTGGTCTAGCCCAGCTCTGCCCCTTCCTTGCTGTGTGACTTGCATAAGCCTTCCTTCTCTCCTCTGCCCAAGTTGAACAATCCTACAGCAGCTGGCAGGAGAGGAGCAACTGCTTGCTACCCGGCCCAGGGAGGCCTCGGCACCCACGGCAGGGGCGCCAAACCCCAGCAGCAGGCAGCCTGGCCTCCAGCTCCAGCTCCCATATCTCTGCTGTCATGCAGGTCTTTGCAGCAGCAGACGGGGCGGAGGTGCGGGCAGAGGTAAGGACGGAGGTGGGAGAGGGGGCGGTCGGGGACTATGTCTGTTCAGACGCGGAGCTGCAGAGGCAGAGAGAGCCTGTGTGAATGTTTCAGATGCTGTGGCCCACGGCCTGGGGGCTGCTCTCTACGTGACTAGAGGACAGGGCCATGGGACGAGGAAGGGGCAGAAGAGAAAAGGTGGGAAGCTCTGCATAGAGCATAGAGGTCAAAAGTGAAGGCTGTGAACTCAGTCCGCTTGGGTGTGAACCTCAGTTCTATCCCTTACTGGGACAAGTTTCCTAACCTCTTTGTGCCTTGATTTCCTAATCCATAAAGCAGGAGTAATAAACTCTACTTTATAGGGTTGTTGGGAGGATGTAGTGTTTAACACAGCACTGGGCTTTTGGTGACTGAGTTCCAAAAAGCAAAAGAGGAGGGAAGAAGGGGAGGGAAAGGCAAAGGAAGGGCCATCAGCAGGCGGGCCCTCCCCGAGTGCAGGCGCCCTCCTGACTGCTAGGTGGGAGGGCAGGAGAGCCCAGGGACCTGACCTTCAACCTCGGCGGGCAGACGTGCCCCTCTCTGCAGAGCCACAGCAAAGATGCTCCCTGAGAGCAGGTAGAGGGCGATGCTCAGCAGATTCAGCCACCAAACCACCTGCAGGGAAACGAGAACAGGAGGGTGAGAGAAAGCAGCAGCTCTCCACGGGCACAGCTCAGGGCCCAAAGCGCGGTGCGCAGGCACTCACCGGGTTGCCGAGCAGATACACTCGGAAGTCGGTGTCATTGATCCCTGAGAAGCGCAGGCCCTGTGGAGCAGAGGACACGCTGCTGGCCCAGAGCTCAGCTCCTCCCAGCCGCACGAGTTCCAGGAGGAGGAAGACGGGTCACCCTTCGTAGACAGGGAGCCCTGACGGGAGGCTCGGAGTGGGCGCCTTCTATGGGAGCTCCCTGGGAAGGCTGATCCGAATCGGGGCAGAAGACAGAGCCCGCCTCTGGCCACCCCGAGCCAGGCGAGGCCGCGCCCTGCGCCCCCAGTGCACCCCACATCCACCAAATCTCAACGCCCTCTTTCTTGCCTCGGGCCCTACCTGATAGTTGATAGGCCAGTGCCAGGGTTTGGACGTGAACTCGTTGTCTTTGGGTTTGAGGCCATTGTTCCCCTGCAGGAAAGTGGCAAAGAAAAGCTAGTCAAAGCAGAGCTCTAGAAGGCCGACAGGAACGTGAGGGATGGGGATCTGATGTGTGGCCAGGTGTCAAGAGAAACCCTCTCTCCTCTCCCCTCCCCTTCCCTTGCAGGGAAGAATCAGGTGCTCATTCTCAGTCACTGCCCACCTGCTTACAAAAACTGACTTACTTTTCCCAACAAGCAAGCCTCCATGTCCCAGCAAAGACAGTCCATTCAGACCCTCTCTGCTCGAGAGAAAGAGGAATGAGAGACTTGTTTCCCACAGGCACAAAATACATATCCGTCTCCAGGCCAAGGATAAGGTGTCAAGAGGATGAGGTGGGGCACAGAAAATCAGGGCTGACTCACTTGTTCCCTTGGAAGGCCAATCTCAAACACAAACCCAGAAACTCTAAGTTCCTGGACTTTGAAAAAGTTACTTTAGCCTAATGTTTCTCAGCGTTTTTTCCCATTATTGCCTGCCCCCCCTCAACCTTTTTAAGACATCTATTCCCTAAACACTCCCCCGCCATGACATTTTAAAGAAATTTTTATTGAGGTATAATTGATATATAACATATTAGTTTCAGATATACAACATAATGATTTAATATTTGTATATATTGCAAAACAATCACCACAATAAGTCCCCTCATGACACTTTAATACCATAGCTATTCTGTATATCTGTTTACATAATGCAGGAATACCTGTGCTTTATACATTAAAAAGTTAAGGGCTTTTTTTTCTTTTTCCCACCCTCCAAGAATACATTTTGCCCCCTGGGAGCGATATCGCTCTGGTTGAGAATGCACACTTTAGCCTGAAGGACCCAGACAGACGCAGCCCATTTAGTCCAACAGCCAAGAATACCCAACAACCTGTCTCTAAATGGCAAAAGCAGGCCTTTGCTGAAACAAGAAGGAAAAGGAGCAGGATCCTGGATCCTACCCAGCAGGATGGCGTCAGCCTCATCATCAGGACAGACTGAGAAGTCATTCCCGAGAAGGGGAGTGAGGTGCTAGGAGTTAGGCTGGGGTTTCTCCACCTCGGCACTATTGACATTTGGGGCTGGAGAAGTCTCTGGTGTGGGCTGGCCTGTGCCATGTAGGGTGTTTAGCATCCCTGGCCTCTACTCACTAGATGCCAGAAGCATTCCTAGCCCTCCATGATGCCAGCCAAAAATGTCTCCAGTCATTGTTAAATATCCCCTCAGAGGCAAAAATCGCCCTCTGTTGAGAACCACTGGCCTAGCCCAAGAAAGATCCAGGTCTGGTTCAGTGAACCACCACCCAGTGCCTTGCTAACCCAACTCCTTGAGGTCTTGGGAATTATTTGCAGGCCTCCCTACGGTGGCTGGATTGATCCTCCAGGGTTAAAAGAGCCAGTGGGGTGTCACGCCCAAAGGGGTCAGCTGCACAGCCCCTGAACCATCATGGCCATCTGAAGGGCCTTGGAATGAAGAATGAATCATTCTGGACCCAAGAGCAGCTGCTGAGGGCAACCAATTCCTTCAACCAGTCCAGTCCAGTCCCAAACCCAGGCACTCCAGCCGGAGCTATACCAAGCCAAGGGCATCCTACACGTTAAACTCTTAAGAAATCCAGCTCCTTTAGTAAACCAAGAAACGGAAGGAAGGAAAGTCTGTAACCATTATAGGCATGTGTATCTGCACATTGTTCTCTGTGCTTAACGCCTAGTGGGCTTATTCCAGCTAACCTCAGCAGGCTGGGCAGCCTTCTCCGCCCAGGCCTTAGGCCCTCTGCTCAGATAGCAGAAGCCCTGTCCCCTGCAGTTTCTATGGTCCAGACAATTTTGATCTCTCTCCCCATCCTGACTCTACATCAGTTGAATAAGAAAGGTTCCTTATGTCCCTTTTCTTCTTTGACTCTACCTCTCAGATAATGAAAGAAAAAACGAGACTATTTATTTAGACTTAGTCTTAAAATTCTACCCGGATCTAAAACGCTATTTTGACCGACAGGCACATATTCAAAAGAACTATGTCATCAGGCCAGAGTGACAGCTACAAACAGAGAGTCAGAGAAGAAGGTACCCAGAGATTGCTTATTGTCAACTCATCACCTCCCAATGTGCAGAAATGACAAAATTTGAATTTTTAAATTTAATCTGTTGAAATAAGTCAACTATATTTACTGAGTACTGCTTACATAATCACTTCCAGGAAAGACCAATTGACAATGGCTCACCAGGGGAAAAATAACAACTGCTACACCTCTCTGCAATCCTGCACAGATACACGAAACTGGCTTGAGATACTGTGATTCTTAAACATCGTTCCTGCAGAACATCGGTTTTCCAGAAGCCAAAGTAAAGAGGTTTCCCCCTCAACATCAAAACCGCATCAGGGTTTTTCCAATTCACAGGGGAAACTTTAAGCTACTAGGTAGAACTTTCTCAATTTAAAGATTTCTTCTCTCAATTGTTCTTAAACCTTTGATGTCAGCTGTCAGCTACTAACGATAGACAGTACAAACGACGAGTCTTTAAAACCTTAAAATGAATCAACCATGCCCCCTAAACAGTTTGTTTCTGTCTGGGAACCTGAGTGGGCTCTTGGTTGGGATTTTATGCTGCATATAAACAACACACTCAAATTAGCTGTTCATCCTAACTAATCCTAATTTCATATGATGGAATCACCTATCAGTGTCTCATGATTTTCAACCAAGGGCACTATGATTTTCAGGAGCTCTGCCACTTCAACAGATGTGAGACTCACTTAGAGGCAGAGGAGTGTAGTGGTAACTAGCACTGACTCTGAAGGCCTGGATCCACCTCTTACATTTAGCTGTGTGACCCTGGGCAAGTTCCTTAACCTCTGTGCCTCAATTCCCTCATCTGTAAACTGGGAACGATAATCTCTGGAAGACTGTAATAAGTATTAAGTTAATATATGTGCAGTGCTTAGAGTCGTGCCTGGCACATAAGAGCTACATAAGTGTTCATCATCATTACCGTCACCATCATCGCCACCACCATTCAATGCCTTTGAAGACCAAGTAAGCCAGTATAGGTGAAGACACTAAGTCCTCCACAAGGGGGCAGTGGGTCTATACCAAGGTTACTGATCCATGATCCAAATCTGTGGATGCCCAAGAGCTCTTAGAGAAGCTGCCAAATGGGAAGGGGCCACAGTACCCGGATCATCACCATGTGGGCCTCCAGCATTATCTCAGGAAAACTGGGCTGCAGCACGTCCAGGCTGATGTTTGGCACTAGAAAAAGAAATGACAGAGGCGTAAACCTTTCTCACACACCCGCTCCTCATGGCTGTCTGTCCATGGTATCCACACTACTGTCAGGGTCTGAGTGTAGCCTTCCTGACAAGCTAACCAGCAGGTGAGAGTGTTGAGGAGACAGAAGGATTCTCGATCATTCACTGAGCACGTATTAAGCACTCAGCAGATATTCTGAGGGAGGCAATGGCAACAGACGAAAAGCCCTGGCCCCGGAGCTCCCACAGCCCTCGGCACCATCAGCCTTCATGACGCCGCTCCCTCAAATGCTGCTCCCGCACGAGGCAGGTCTGTGAGGACAGGGCCCGAGCCTGTCTCATTCACCAAGGCATCCCCAGGGCCCCACATGGCTCCCAGCATCTAAACAAAGAGCTGTTTAATTACTTAGTTAATTAGCTGGTTGGTTAAATTAGGTGGTAAAAAGAATGAAATGGGAAGCATGAAGAGGAGAAATCAAGCAGAAGTGCGAAGGGGGTAGCTTAAGAGGACAGATGATGAATCCAGACACTCGTTGAGTTGAAGATGACGCGGGAGTGGAAATGTCAATTGGAGCCTGGTAGTATAAATATGGGGCTCAGATCAAGGGCTGCAGCCATTGCTTTCTGTAAAAGCCTTGGCTGGATGTGGGGAGGGGAGGAGCCTACACAGGGGCAGAAAGGGAAAGAACCGGCCTGCTCTAAGCCTTGAGGGTGGGGAGGTAACCACAGAGGGGATAGAATAGCCCAGGAGGCAAGCAGATGGACCTGCATTATAGGCGGCAAGAGAGTCATATCCAGTGGGAGGCAAGGAAAGTGACCAGAGACAACCAGCTCTGGCCCCGAGTGAGGTCATAGGTCACTTTAGGGAGAGGAGTTTAAAGAGGATGGGAAGTTTGAGTGGGTGGGGAGAAAAAAGGAGCTCCCTATCTAGACAATTCATATGAAGAGATTAGGTTTAAAAAAGGAAGAAAATGGCAACAATAAGATAAAGTGGCAGCAGAGTCTGTAAAGGTTTCTTTTCCTAAGATGAGAGTTACTTAGAAATGTTCCCTTCAGAGCCAGCCCAGGACATGGCCTCACTCACATTTGGGATTGATATGGTCTTCCACATTCCAGATGGAGTTGAGGGTTTCCTTTAGGTATGGAGTGCAGGTGACTTCCAACTGCTCCCAGCCCCTGTGAAAAGTAGTCACAGATGTCTCTCAGAAGACCTGAAACCCACCGGAGAGTAACACTGCCAACTGCTCTTCAATCTACGGTGCCCCTCTCTTTCCAACCCAGTGGCCATGCTTTTTTCAGCCTCACACTTTTATATTCCACAACTATCCTAGGAGGACTCGAGCACACAACATTCCCATTTTAGAAGGAGACATAGATCCAGAGAGTTATCACAAGCCAGATATACAAATGCTCAACTATTACAACACACGAAACACCAGAGGAACTCTGGAGCTCTGGGCTCCATAAAACTCCTGATGCCTTTCCTCCCTCCATTCACCACAAAGAAAAAGCAAACCTGAGGTAAACATCGACCACTGCGAAATGGAAGTTTTGGGTGTCCTCGTAGTGTGAAAGGAAAAGCATGAGCCACTAATGGGACATCAAAACCCCAGAGACTCACCACTTGGGCAGGACCTTTCCCGAGGAGCCCAGGACACAACCTGTCACCAGATGGATGAGGCGAATTCGACTTCTCAGCACTTTGATTCGGTTTCCAAATTTTCTGTTTACAACCTCAATCCTCCAGAAGTCATTTGAGTCTCCTGTCCCATTCTGCCACATAAATCAAGAAAAAAATACAAAGAAAGTAAGATGACTTTAGAGAAGACGTATCAGAAAAGGGAGATGGTCACCCTTTCAGATGCCATCATGTTACAGTTTGGCCAAAGACCAAACTGGCCTAAATGACTGAGGTGGGAAAGGGAACGAGAGGGCCATAGAAATACACCAAGTGACTGCCATTGTCCCAGCACTCGCGATTACAACCAAGAAAAGTAGTATAATTCCTCAAAACTTAGTTCTAATTCTTCACTTTATAGAACTAGAGTTTAAGTTCTAAATAAATGTTTTTGCCCTTAAACTAAACTCAAGACATCACCGTGTGCCAACAGAAATAAATATGGGCTATTTGCGTCCATTACTGGTGGCCATGGGGACACTCACTCATCGAAGAAAGGTCTGGCCTAGATATCGTACTGTGGAAATTAAGACAGTTGTGTCTCATTCTCCTCAGGAAATGCTCACCAGAAAAAGATGAAGTTCAGAGTCTTGGCTCTAGTATAATGTGGGATGAGCAAATAGAAAGAGGTTGGGAATTCCACCTTAAGGAACCCAGAATCTTTACTGAAGCACCAAAGCCCTTGGAAGGGAACGTAACAGATAGTCATAAATCTACTTTCCCACTAGTTGTTTCTGTTTTCAAATTACTCCCCAAGCCATAAATACTCATAGAGCTTCCTCTATTAACTGCATCACCCCAAGGCAGCAAAAATCCAAAGCAATGGGGACAATATCCCTCTGTGGAACAGGGAAGTAATCCTTAAAAATAAAGCCAATGAGGGCTTCCCTGGTGGCGCAGTGGTTGAGAGTCCGCCTGCCAATGCAGGGAACATGGGTTCATGCCCCGGTCCGGGAGGATCCCACATGCCGCGGAGCAGCTGGGCCCGTGAGCCATGGCCGCTGAGCCTGCACGTCCGGAGCCTGTGCTCCGCAACGGGAGAGGCCGCGGCAGTGAGAGGCCTGCGTACTGCAAAAAAAATAAAAATAAAAAACTAAAGCCAATGAGAATTTGGAATCTGGCAAAGGATAAACTTGTATATTCATCTGGGGTCATATTGTGGCCCTGTGGCTTCTAAGTATAATATGATTTTAAAAGGGACCCTTACAGTATTCATATTTGACATTTATTAAGTGTCAGAACATAAAAATGGCATGGTAATTATGGGAGGCAAGAGATGGAAACAAATAGACTTCATAGGCTGCCTTTCCCACAGCAAAAAGCCTAGCCAGGAAGTTCCTAAATGTTAAGAGTCCCTGTGCAGCCAATCGTTAGGAACATTCCAGAATTCTGGGGAGGATGTGTTCCGCCACATGGCCCTGAGCCAGGCCCCACAGTTTTTGACATCCTGCTGACACTCGAGTGGCTCACTTACTATGCCATAGCCTGTGACCTGATAGTGCTTCCGGGTCAGGGGGGCCTCGTGATAGTGACTGTGCAAGTTCCGAGAAGTCCTAGAAATTAAAAGAGAGAAGTGCCACTATCCTGAAGAAAAGAGATGTGCAATGTTTCTTCTTTTACCAAGGCTACTCAGAGTCATCTGTTTGGATAAGAAAAATTAGAATCCAAACCATTAAATCCAACATATCGTGAGGAGTACTGGACCATACGCCAAGAAAGGGGCTTCACTTCCTGTTCACCCCACAACTTCAGGTGGGGGGCAGGGGGATGACTGAACACATTGGTGGCTTTGAGGCAAGCTAGCCTGACTTAAGAGGCAGGTTTAGGGAGAAGAAAATTAAAATTTGTGATCTATGTATGCCTGAGATAGGTAAACTTCCTCCCTACCATCTATGCTTTCTACTCCTATCACCAGTTTTACAAAGTAGGGATCTGTGGGGGAAGTGGAGGGTTTCATTTAGATTTTGTTTACTTCATGTTTTTTGTAATAATCCTTACTTTTATCCATAATAAGTAATCAATGTTCATTATAAAAATATTGGAAATTTGCAAAAATAAAATTTAGTTAATAAATTTTAATTTATTTTAAAAAATTAAATTAAAATTTTAAGTATCCATAATCTTACTGACTAGGGAAAAAACACTGCTCATAGCTTTTCTATATGTATATTAAAAAAATCCCTGATTAAAAAAAAAAATTCTGTATCTGACAATTCACATGAAATTTTTGCAGGGCTGCTTCTGTTGCCTATTTTTCCTGCTCATTCTTGCACATGGTGCCCTATTTCCTTGTGTGCTTAGTTATTTTTTACTGTGTACTATTCACTGTCACTGAAAAACTATTTATAGGAATAGATAACCATGTATTTCCCAAAAGAGGATTAACATTTGCTTTTAGCCAGGCACCTAGGGAACATTACCACAGTCTTAGGACCA